AACCCTTTCCCTTTGTTTGCAGAACCCCATCTGGCATCCAAACAGGGACTCCACAGTGGAGACATCTGCTGTGGAGGGTGACCTGCCTTTGCTGTGTTCCCAGGGTAGGACGCCGCGTCAACTTCATTTTCTTCAGAAAATCCCCAGTCATAGGGAATTCCCCATCGAAGCGCGCAGAAACACGAGGCAGAGCTGCTGTTTCTCCTTAAGAAGGCGGGCCATGGCCTCCTGAGCACAATTTAGCACAACTTTTGCAAACCATTCATGATGATCATCCTTGGCATCCTCGAGGAAGGATGCTCGTTATGGAGGATTGGGCAAAGAGAGGCAAACTGCTGCATGCGGAGCCTTGGGCCCCGCCTCTGTCCGCACACCTGGATCCTCTGTCAGGATGCTATCGCAACCTTTTGCAGGCGAGCAGACGGAACACTGCGTGGCTGGCTTCCAGGTCCTCCCGGCCGGGCTGCTTCTACTGTCCCTGTCTTCCCTGGGTCAGACCCATTTTCCTTTGACCACTCAGCAGTGAGCTCCTCTGTTCGGTGCTTTACACAGATGCTGCTGACCTGATCCCTGATGTCCTTTCTGGCAGACCCCTCAGAGCGCTGCTCACACGCTCACCTCAGTTATGGGGGACCGAGTTCCGGAGGACTGCCCTCTCCTACTCATTTTTCATTCAGCCCCTCTACTCACCAGGGCTCTGTTGCCACCCAGAGCAGCAAGGTGTTTATTGTTGAGTGGTCACATTTACCCCACTCGCCTGGTAGTACTGTATTTCCTATTATCAATGCTATTTCTTCTCTTATCTCTCGAGGACATACTTGCACTCCTTGGAACTGATCTCACTGATATTGTTTTACCACTTACCAAGGCTGACTTCTCCTTTCTGCCGCCCTCTACTGTTTCTCTTCAAGTCTCTTTGGCTATGTTGGTTCCATTTCTTTCAAAATGCCCCCAGAGCCGGGCACACAGGAGCCAGCGCCTCTGCTGATGGGAGAGGAGGGGATGCTTCTGGGTTATCCCCAACAAGCCCAGTGTGGATTCCTGCTCATTGCATTCACCCTTCTCAGACTGGGTTGGCACCATGAGCTGCACAACCCAATGCCACAGTTTCGCCTCTCCCTAAACCAAGCCCAGCAGCCTCAGCAGCGACCCAGGACAATAACTGCTCAGCCAGTGACCCGGGGTGATGTAAAGGTGCTGACCCAGTCTGCACAAGACTTGCTCTGCACATCTAAGAACAACTCCACTGCTAACAAGCTTCTTGCAGTGGTATTTACCAAACTGACAATGAACTCTGTAATGCTGGTTTGTATTCTATTACTATGTGTTTTGCAACCCACCATGAGGACATCAGAGTCCCACAAGCTCCAGGAAAGACTGGAATACAATTAGTTGGGTTCAATTGGCAAAAGCAGCTAATGTCTCTCATTTTTATCTTGCTCAAGAGAGAGAAATAAAACAATTCTTGGGTCCTGTCTGATTCCCGTATGCAAGGACCCTGCCCCTCTAGGGAATTACACCATTTTCTCCACTATTCCAAACAAAATTGTCACATATGCTGACTGTCCAAACTGGGGCACTCCCACCCTGAAAAAATCCAATAATGCTGTTAAAATGTCCACTCCTTACATAGCAACTTCAAATGCCTCCTGTGCTCGTAATGAAAATTGTACTGCTCAATGTCGTTGCCTTCCTAGCAGGACTTGGAATTGTTCTAGTTACGAGCCAGTATTGTATGGACGTGGATACGGCCCTCTCCCTGCTGGACGGTTTTTCTCGTGTGAAGAGCAGACCTTCAATGACATCCCTGCTAACTTATCTCAGAACACAAATGCTGCCTCAGTCGCCTTACTGAACTGTCACCTTCTCCAGAATTTACCCGTCTCATACCACACGGTCTGCAACTGGTCTCACTGACCTATGCGGGACTTTTCTATTAGCCTGTTAACCAAAGCAGTAATTTTTGCTTTAGACATTTCTTTGGTTGGTGCACCTGCTCTGGCAGCCAGGGCCAAATGCAATGTGAATGCACTGGCTTGTCTCATGTCAACACAAATTAGTTATACTTCTACAGCTTTGCATTATTAAATAAAAAATAAACACCAACAAGCAATTTTAGATAATTCTGCTACACCTGAATACTTCTATTACATCGTCATAGATGCAATAAAATTGCCCAAATGTGCTGTTTTAATTTGTCTGATAAACAAATCCATCAATAAGAAACTTCATGATTTACAAAAACTTACCAAACAGATACACATGTCCCAAGGTATCAGTACTAGATATAAAATTTCCTTACAGGATGGTTACCAGATGTCAGTCGACTAAAACACAGTTTCTTTATGGTGTACTGTCCTTATCTGCTTAATTGGCATGGGATGCCTCGTACAGTGCACCATCCCTATGCAAAGGGGAGACGTAGAGAGGCCACACTGACTCCATTTTGTCCCAGGCACATGCGGTCGACAACGTTACGGGAAAAGTGCAGGCCTTGAAAGATCGCCCCCACCCCAAGGTAAAAACGCGAGGTCCTATAGGGGCAAGAAGCAAAAAGTTATAGAATCTGAGCTTGCGCAATTTGAGTTTCTTTGTTCTTTATCTCAAGAAAAGCTACTGGCTTAGGCTGGCTGGCTGGCAGCCACCTTGCTGACACTTAGTGTGTGCGACCCTTTATTTTCCCTTTGCTTGTGAAACCCCAGCACAAGAACACCAACCAAAAAAAAAAAAAAAACCAAGAGAGAAAAATAAAAAGTCCACTTCAGCTTTGTCCCTGTTGTCACTAGTAGGACACTATGTGGGGCCAGAGGCCCTGTCCTTGCTGATCCACCCCAGCAAGCCAGCAGTAGCTGTTTGGCAGGGCAGTGGATACTCTCAGCGGGCCTGCGCCTTCTGGCCAAGCCAGACTTGCCTGGCCGCAGCTGTCTGCACATCTTCTACAGCTGGGAGCCATCAGACGAAGCCAGCAGCAGCTCTGCACCGAGTCCACTCGGGCCCTGTCCCAGATGGCTCCCAGCCAAGGGCTGTCCCCGCCGAGGACTGAGCCCTCAGCACTCCCCGCCTGCTAGTGCAGGGCTTCACATCTGCGGCTCCCTCCACTGTGTCTCCCTGTGGAGGCTCTGGGGTCGCCAGCTACCCCATGTGCTGTAGGTGTGAACCGTCTTCTCCCTCAGTGAGTCCCTCCCAGGGAGGTGCCGCCAGACCCCTTCCTTGCTCAGGTTTCTAAATATCTTCTCGGTGGGCCGCGACTCACGCTTCAGATCCTTCCTGAGCCCCAGGAACCCACTTTCCTTCTTCCCGTCTTCCCCGCATGGCTACCGTGTAATATCTGGATGGCGACTCGCAGGCTCTTCGTCTGCTGCCCACCACTGTGCCATCCGGTGCTCCCCCTGATTGTATTTACAACATTTCAGTCTGACTGCAGAGTCCTGAGCTGTCTATAGGCCTGAGCAGTGCTAACTAGTCTTGTTAAGTGTTCACACAGCTTAATAGAAATCTGTTAAGGCTGAAGCCAGACTGACAAGCTCCCTGCTCCCCCTGTCATCACGGGCAAACTCTAACCCAGTCAGTGGAATTTATGGAAAAGCACAGAAGTCCAAGAAGTCCTTCATCGCTCCCTCTCTCGGTCCCTGCTCTCCTCTGCTCTGCTCTTTTTTCTCAAACAGCAAAGCACAGCAAGGTCTGCCTATTTTCCTTAAAATCAAGGCTTCAAAGAAAAATCTGCCTTTTTCTCTTGTCTTTTCATCCAGTGATCCAGTTTCCCTAATGCTGTCGGGCACCACATCCAGGAGTGTGATGACGTGTGTGCCTCTGAGCAGAGGAGCTGGAGGCCTGCTTTAATTTAGCCCACAGGTACACAGGCACCCAGTCTGCTGCAGATTGAACAGTAATGGGCAGCAGAGACAACGTGCCACAATGAGATGTTGCCTCTGCGTGCTGTTCTAGGGACAAGCTGGCCAATGGGTGATTTGATATCCTGACACTTTTCCATAACGCCAGGTTTTCAGCTGGAAAGTTCTTATTATTAATCACTGTGCCCAATTAATATTATAGGAAAACTGGAGTAGGATGACTGAAGAAAAAATCTGTACTGCTACCACAGCACAACATCAAATCTTCATGTGACAGGAAAAACTGTCCACACTGAAAGAAAACTCAGTGGGCAGGAGCAGCGCTCACACACTCTGTTGCTACATCACGAAACACTGCAAGAAGCAGCACACGGTTAAGTCGGGGATTGGTGTAAGACCTCTGGAGCAGCACTGACAAAGGTGAAGACAGTTCTCAATGCAAGAACTACAGATATAAACGTGAACAGGATCTCTGGTCCTCATTCTTACAGAGTGCACAGCGCCGCACACTGCACGAGGCCCGCAGTGGCTAACCCAAGTCAATCTTGCAGAAAGCTTACTTTTGAACACCTCACAGCTTTCCTCTTGATTTTCATGATTCTCATTCACCCTAAAGCTTCAGTTCCCGAGAGCCCAGAACTGCTTCTTAAAAAGGAGGCATTCTCATAACTCTTCCCCGAGGACGCAGGGTCACCATCAGTGTTTCATCACTTAACGGTTTATCCCAGCATCACCAGGCAGCGGGTTTCTTTACATGCCGACTACCCCGAGCACCACTCAGGCCACCAGTGTCACTTCAGTCAACTGACTCTCATACTGAACAACTTTAGTAAAATTGTTGTTTTTGTATTTTCTATTCCATTGTCTTAATAAGCCTTTTCTCCACATGAGGCTCCTTCATTTCCTACAGGGCACCCGAATCCTAATTTTATAGTGCCTCAAATTTTATGTGCCACTAAAAAAGAAGTTCAGCAATGACATCATGAGCAATGAAGATAAACGATCGTCTTTAAAAACAATGCTTATTTTCTTTCCAATATCCAAAATACTCAAGGAATCTGTGTGTTCTTTCATCTCAGCAGGCGACTATCTGAAACTGAACGACTGTCGGGAGGCAGCCCCCGAGGGAAAAGCGAGGCGCTAACTTACTATGTAGTCTTCATCCTCATCCTTGGGGCCGGGGCTGTAATACACTCGGTAAGCTCTGGCCACTTGGTCGATCTCTTCTTTTGTGCCGGTCAAGCCAATTAGCTTGGGAGAAAATTCTAAATAAAAAATCAGAGACAAAGAAAAGTGAGAAGCAGCAAAACAGCCATCTCCACCTCAAAAACATGATACCTGGTATAAAGCGTCCCTAGTGGTACTTTTTACCTGTGAGTTCTCAAACATTTCTTCATGATTCAAAGGAAAAGAAATTCACATAGAACAAATGAAAATTCTTCTTTGTAACACACTATATGTCAGTCTTTTAATACCAGTAAAAATCTGGACAGAATATATTTTAGCTTTTGAAATCACCTTTTCAGTTTTAAAAATACATGTAGTTGAGATCCAGTTCACTCTAAAAGTAGTATCATGAATTCAGTACTACAGTTTTTCACTGCATCATGAAGAAATGAAGACTGTGTCACAGCACAGCACAATGCCTGCATCTTATTTCCTAACAAGCAATCTCTACACAGATACAGGGCCAGGTTCTACTTTTCCTTCTGATAAGAAGCTCAACAACTACCATTCATCACCCAAAACAGTAATTATAATACAGTGCGGAGCGGTGTGTATGTGCCGTTTAGTTGCTAGAATGCACAGAAGCGGCTCAGGGGGAGTCACTGAACACTTAGATCCTGCAGGTTACTAAATGACAGCTCCACTCTCACGGCTCTCCTTCTTACCGAGTGCACAAGCCTTTGGCCCTCGACGAGTTCGCTGTAAACTGGGTGCTGAATTATTTAGGGCTAAAGAGAGCGGGCTGCCTTGTCTTTCCTTCACACTCACTGGAGTTCAGCAGAAGGGTGAATGAAGCCTGAGTGAGCTTCACATCTGAAGACTTTTCAACTGAATTTACTGAAACAGCAGTATTTTCCTAAACACTAACTTAAAATTTTTAACTTTCACCTAAAAAATGAAATCAGTGATGCGTGTGCACGCTGTTGAAAAAAATGACCGTAAGGTTTTGGGCTATCAATTAGATGTGGCAAATTTAAGCACACTCATGTGGGGATTAATACATGACAAAATAACTGCTGATACAACACATTTAAATGTACTACCCAGTGAGTATATTTCTATAAGCTGCTTTTTATTGCTTTACGAAAAACACTTTGTTCTTACTCAAATTTCTGACAAACTTGAAATTTGTGGCATAAATTATACTTAACTTCATAAATAAAACCATAAACTTCAAAGAGAAAACATAACCCCGGTAACCTTGTGTTAGGCAAAGCTTTCTTATATATTAAACAAAAGGCACTATATATAAAAGAATAAGCCAATTCATTTGGACTTAATCCCTTAAACTGGGGAAAAGATGTGCGCAGACACTTCACCAGGGACACAGATGACGAGAATGGCGATGGCCAGTGCTAACATCTATCACAGAAAGTATTCAAGTCAGGATGAAACAGCACTAGGGCCTCCTAAAGCGGCTACTATCGAAAAGCCTGCTGATGTCAAGGACAGTCAGGGCGTCCAGAAACTGGAACTCTCAACACTGCTGGCCAAGAATGTGAGAATGTAAAGCCATTCCGGAAGGGTGTTTGTCAGCTTCTCCCACAGGTAAACATACACTGCGTGACCCAGCCACTCCACAGGTGGGTGCACACTCAGAAAAAACGAAAGCAACTGTCCAGAAAAAGAGGTGCACACAAACGTCACCTGCCAACAGCCAAAAGCTGGAAAAACCCCAGTATCTGTTCATGGACTAGTACATGGATGATGTTTAAAATAATTATTAAAAAATACATACTGTACCATGTCATTCACATAGCACTGTGGAATGCAAAGGGGCTCACTGTGACAGAAGGAGCCTAACGCTTGCCTGGAGATGGAGGCAGAACAGGGAACTGGGGGGCAGGATCAGAAAGGGAAGGAAGAGCGAGGCATGGTGGCCCTGCCTGTAATTGCAGCTCAGGAGGCTGAGGGTCAGGAGTTTGCTTTGCGGCTAGCCTGAATCACCTGGTGAGACCCTGTCTCCTACTTCCTCCTCTCCTTTTGTCCCCTCCCTCCTCTCCTCTCCCCCTTTCTCCTCCTACTTTCCCTTCTCTCTTCCCTCTCCTCTCCTCCCCCGCAACCTTCTAGTGTTGGGAATTGAACCCAGGCAGGGCCTCAACTTTGCTAGAAAAGCGCTTCACTGCTGAGCTACAATCCTGGTCATACATGCTGATTTTCATGACTCTGGTGATGGTTTCAGGGGTACTCACACTGCAAGGTAACAAACTGTACATATTTACTTCTTTTTTTGGGGGGGGGGGTCTTTTTGAGACAGGGTCTCACTATGCACTTCGGGCTGATCTTGATCTCACTTTGTAGCCTCAAACTCACAAGGATCCTCTATCCTCAGCCTCCTGAGTGCGGGGATTACAAGTATGCACTGCCACACCCAGGAAATGTGTATGTTTCATTGTATGGTAATTATACCTCAATAAATCTGTTAAAAATAAAAAAAATACATAGCAAGCCCTTAACAAAACAAATTTTAAAATGATCTCAAAATCTATAGAATATGCATTTAAATGTGTCATTAGTCCTTCTGATCAGTAACTTAACTCAATTTCAAAATGATTTAAATTCAAATTGCTGATTTTTAAGCACCTACAATGAAGAGGCTTGAGTTTACAGAAAGTAAATTTGCCTATCCTCACAGATGAACTAGAAACTGAGCATTCATCTTCAACTCTACTACTGTTCAAAGTCTGTAAAATCATCTGGATTTTAATCTGCCTGGAGAGATAATTTGAACTGAAATTTATACACGAAACATTATGAAGATATCTCTGTCATACTATATGGTTAAGATTTACAAAACATGACATGAGTGCAAAATGCATCTAGTAATTCATCTTCAATCTCCCAATTCTCAAAATGTGTGTTTCTCCTAATTTTACTAAATGAGAATGTGGAACCTAACAGGAATTAGGAAGCAATAGGTCCTTACTCCTAACTTAAGGCTCTATTAGTTGCCATGAAGTTCAAGTCTAAATCTCTCCTCTGTGATAAAGAGTGCTGCACAAGGAATTGAGAAACTATTTCCTCATTTATGTGCTCATCAGCCACAGCCAAGACTCTGCACACCGATCTGCCTGTTACATCAGTCCCTCCGTCCTGCATATTTCATGAGGCATTGTAAGGATGAAATGAGTTCATACTTCAAAAGCTGCAAGAAGTCAACAGATGTAAAGTACGTAAAGATATAAAATATACCTTTCACATAATTTGCAATGGCTTCTTTTGTGTCCCTTTCCGGATCAATAGTGATGAAAAGTGGAGTTAAATTTGGGAGACTTGGAATACTATCTGAAAGAAAGTTCCAATTAGTATTCATACTGTAAGGGAAAAGAGAAAATCAGCCGTGGCAGGAGAGGATATTAACTGCTACACTGCAGAGTTAAGGAAACACAGGGAGAGCTAACATTTCAGTGAAGGACAGAAAGGGAAAGAAGCGGGTATCTAACCCTGCAAACATCTACATTGGAATGTACATGTTATCCTGGCTATATTCTCAATCCAATCTAATCCAGTATCTCTAGTTTATTCCCTGCCATAACTCAAGGATAAGGTAAATCATTTAAAAGGTCTGAATGTTCTGTAACAATTTAAGATCGTTTAAATTGGCGCTAATAAAACACTGTATCACTGACTATATATCATGTAGATTTCCTACTCTAATTACCACTGGAAGAAAGGGCAATGGGCAGATTGTAACAAGAAAGGAACACAAAAGGAAACGTTAGGAAGATCCTGGGCATGCTGACATTTTTCAAGCAATCTAACATTCAGCATCAAATAAACCTACTGTGGTGGTGAGTTAGCTCACACCATCAAAGCAACACGATCACAGGTGAGTGCTGAGATTTTGTACTTTTACAGACCAAATAATTGGTGAAAATGTAGTGACGTTAAGTAAAAATAAACAGTGGAGAGTCACTAATGGCTTTCTTACCGATTTCGTCCACAACTTGAATCATTTTTTCCAGTTCTTCTGGACAGATATCAGGGCAATGAGTGAAACCAAAATAAATCAACACCCACTGGCCGACGTAGTCCTTGTTAGTTTTGGGCTCTCCAACATGGGTTATTAGGGAAAACGGTCCGCCAAGTAAAGGCTTCCCAATGCTTCGATGCCGTTCCTTCTCCAGCTCTTAAAGAGAGACCAAAAACGTTATTGGAACCACACGTATATAAACATACCATCAGTGCTATTCTAGTAACCGTGTGTGGGAAGGGCACAAACTGTGGGAGACATAGTTTCAGCTTTCAAGACATCTTTCCAGAAAAATAAAATAATAAAACCAATCCAAATTAAGTTCTATGGTAGGTAGTAAGTCCCATAAGAAAGCACTTAAAATGCTTCTTCCTTGTCCAGAACCATTCAGTGCTAAGTCTAAGAAAGCACTTAAAATGCTTCTTCCTTGTCCAGAACCATTCAGTGCTAAGTCATGGGTGTGGCTGTGCTGAGAGTGGGGCAGGCGACACAGGGACCTAGGACAGATGTCTGAAGTTGGGTGAAAGTGGGGGGCTGGCAGGGGGAGCGTGGGCCTGAGTGAGCAGTGGGGATGAGACCTCATTTACATACAGGAGACTGATTTAAAAAAAGTAAAATAGCTCACAGATAAGAGGAAAGAGGATTCCAAACAGAAAAGGAGTCAGCGCTGTGGACAGGGAGGAACTACAAGGAGCCTTGTGGCAATGGAAAGGAATCAAAGGACTAATCTGAGTTTCTGATTTCAATTTCAATACAGTATATAGACTCGCCAGCTAAAAGGAAGTAAGGCTTCTGGAGAAACGGCTGAAGGCGGGACTGAAGCAAACAGAGCACAGATGAGCCCGGACGCTCCTGCGGCAAGAGGGAGAACTCAGAGAACAGGAGACGTGTCAAAAGGGAAAACGCCTGACAGCCTGGACAGGCTCCCACCAGCTAATCCGGGCCGCTCTGAGGATCAAAATAAAGAGAACGGTGGGTCACAGACATTATATATATATATATATAGGAAACCATGAGTTCTTACTGACATAAATGAATAAATCAGCATTTCTGCCAAAGAAGCATGACTTCAATTAGGAGGAAACATCAGACAAAATCAAGGTATTCCAAAAAAATAACCAGTTTATAATCTTTTAAGCTGTCAGATCACAAAAGTCAGGTAAAGTCTGGGAAACACTATAATTAATGGAGACTAGAGAAACAACCAGGGATAAGGTGTCGTTCTACTATAAAAGATGTACAGAAGGCCAGGTGTGACGGTCCATGCCTGCAATCGCAGCACTCAGGACACTGAAGCAGGAGGAGTGCTGGGAGTTCCAGGCCAGCCTGATCTGCATTTAGCAAGACTTGGACTCAAAGAAACAAAAACAAAGACAAAGACATAAAGTAGCAAAACAGAAAGATTAAATGAGATTAATCTAAGATTGAGATTAAATGTAAGACTCAATCTGTTAACTCTCTAGGTTATATTGTAATTACACTGGAAATTGTCCTTGTTTGTAGAAAATATACCATGCTTTACTGTGTACCTGAGTTGGTGAGGTATCATGTTACCAAATACTCTCAAACAATTAAGAAACACTTTGAAGACTGTCTTCACAGTAAAATTTTATAATAAAATAAGTATTATTGTGGGTAAATTCCAAACTGAAGTCAAAAGCTTGGGTATTTGAAACTGTTTCTGCTGCTCTTTCTCTAGTGTCTAAATCTTTTGTCTGTGCATGAAACTAAAGGAACTTGCCAATTAAAATATGACAATCATATTAATAAAATACTGCTTCTTATATAAAAATGTTACCTTGTTATACTAACAGCAGTAAGAATCTATTTGGCTAAAACGTTAAAGCCTATGAACTATCACTCCCAGATCTGAATATTATCACCTGAACACAATGACATCAAATAAGACTTTACATAATCGAATTAAATTTAAGTGATATTTGAACAATTTATCTGAAACTCCCTATCTTTTTTTTTTTTTTTTTCTTTTTCCTTTTTTATCGGTACCGGGAATCAAACCCACGACTGCTTGAAATTTAGAAGTCCTGGAATATACACTAACATACCACATTTGTTCTTTTTTTCCCCTCTGGACCTTTCAAGATTCTATATTACAGCAGTAACAGGCTCTCTTCAACCATGGTCAGTTTCTGGCCTTCTCCTCTGCAGATATCCATTGCTGTGTAGGATCTATTCATGGTGTTCTCCATGTCTGACCCAAAGAAGCTTTGTCAGCGTGAAGATTGGGCCTTCCGTCTCAAGCACCAGAGTTTTGGGCCTCACAGAACCTCATCTAGTAAAACTTTTTACTTCTGAGTCTGTTTTTCTATCACGTGCACCTCAAGTGTGGCACAGCATCTCACCCTTAGACTTCAAGCTGTCCACATTAAAATCTACCCACAATGCATCTTTCAATAGCATTAATGGTACCGTGGATTGAATCCTGGAGAAGCAAAATACACTAATGAAACCATACATGCAATTCTCATAAACTCTAAGTTTAGTTTGGTACAGTTCTCTACCAACTTCCTTAGTTTTGATCAATGTGCCATGGTTATACAAGTTGTCAACATTATGGAAATCGGGGAGATAGTTATACTAGGAAAGTTTTATACTGTCTTTGCAACTTTTCTGTAAATTGAAAACTATTTCTAAAGCTGAAAAACTATTAAAATTTAAAAAAAAAAAAAAAGGTGCTAGGACATGGCCAGGAAAGATTTTATTCAGACCTGAGTAGAGGACGTCTACTTACTTTCTGTCTTTTCCTTCTTGAAGTACTTCATCCCAGCCAGTAAAGCCCCTCCAATAGCAAATGTGATTGCTAAAGACTTCCAGGAAACAGGCTACTGGGGCAGAGATTTCAAAAATAAAAATACTAGTAAGAAGAAAACATTTAACCATGCTAAATGTATTATAGTTTTCAACATACATACACAGGTCATGATTTTGTTCAATGTGCAGAATGTTTCAAATTAATCTGGGATGAGAAAATGCTGCACATTTCTGAGGATGAGGTTGATATATTTGGGTTCTGCATATATACAATGACAAGGACACACAATTTAATTTCTTGTTCAGAGCAAAATCAACACAAAAAACCACAAGTAACATGATTGTTACTGCATGCGGCCCTCACTCTAACTTTTTATTTTTATTTATATTTATTTAATTAAAGTTCCCCATGGTGGATTATACCTGTACTCCCAGCACTACGGGGCAGGCTGAGGCAGGTGGCCTGGGCAATTTAAAAGGACCCCGTCTCAAAATGTTTAAAAGGGGTAGAAGTGGGGCTTGCTGGGGATTTAACCCTCACCTTAAGCCCCACTACTGCACAATCAATCAGTTACCAGTTTGTGCTAATACTGAGAATAAATACATAGACTAGGGGAGGGTAACCTAACTCTGGCTATTGGAAGTACTAACCAAAGCAGAAAAGAGGTCTAAACGTGGGGCTTCTTACAAGCTCCATCAAGTTACTTCTGGAATTCCCAAAATATGGAAGCTATCTGTCAGCTCAGCCGCACTCATTAACCTTGTCCTCGCTCCGAAAACCTATTCTTTTCCCATCACTACAGAGAAGTGGTTTTTAGTTGTTTTGGGGTCAGAACTAGAATCTGAGACAATCACAGGAAAATGGCATATCCGTATGCAACCAAGGTTCTCCTTTTGTTTCAATTTCAAAGTATTTATGGAAACTGGGAGGAGGAATTCAACTGATAGCAATTTTAGAAGTGCTCGGATTTTTCCATTATGGTAAACTTAAGGTTGAGGTCGTTAAGAGAAGCTGAAACCTACTTTATTGGCACAAGAGTTAACTTAAAATCCAAACCCGAATATCTAGCCACATACAGAGGCTTCTTATGGGAAGTTGTCTCCCGAGAAGTGGGGCCGTCGCCAAACCAGAGATACGAGGATGAGATTCCATGACCCAGGTAGGCCGACCGAGTTGAGGTCACTTTGAGGCAAGGCCGAGCAGCCTCTGAGGTCAGGACCAAGAGGGATGGAAAGGCCACTGGGAAGGGACAGCTGTAAGAAGCACTGCAAAAACCCCACGTGTACACTCACCCCAGGTTTCGAGGGGCGCGTGGGGTCTCCGTGACCCTTAGGCTCCGGCCCTGATGACCCCGACGGTTGTGGCGACCCTGTGCTGAAGGGTCGGCCTCCCAGGAAGGCGCCACGGCTCCCCGAGACCCGCCATAACTCGTCCTGGCACGCACAGCACTGCCTCAATAAGACCTTCGCAGTCCTCTCCGCCGGGCTCCAAAGCCACAGTCCGCGAGGCAGAACATGCCACAGTTGGCCACCTGAAGTACGCACCAAACCTGCCATCAGCCGCTGAGGTCCGCGCCTCTTTTGCCCCGCCCCGCTACTTCCGGTACCCTTTCACTTCCTCCGGAAGTCGCGCGGAGCCGCTCTTTCTGCTCCTCTCGATGGTGCTGCGTCGCCTAACCGGTTGTTAAGGAGTGCCGGGTAAAGACCAAGTAGATAGAGAGTACCTTTTTGCCAAGGTCTGTCCCGTGTGGGCTGGGGAGGACCAGTAGTGGGGACCGGGAGAGGGTGGCAGCGGAATCACTGAGGGGTCCAGGCTGCGCGACCGGGCCGGGGCCTGGAGGTCTTGAGTGCTGAGGGCTCTCGGGTGCTGGACTGGGCAGCACCTGCACCCCCATCTTTCCTGGTGAGCTCCTGCTGCCCTGTTTAGGGTCGGCCAAGTAGCATTACAAGTCGCTGATCTCTCTGGATCCTCAAAAGTAGAAGAAGACTGGTGATTCTTCAAATAATTCTTAATTTTTAAAAAATGATAATAATAATTTAAGAGGTTAAAGTGATCTCCGAAAGCAAGTTACGTCAAGTGCCCGGCACTTCTAGCTACCAGGACCCATCGCAATCTGATTATAAAGCGCAGCGCCCTACGAAGTATTTACTGCGTCAGGCCTTCCCTTTAACTTTGTATCCTGCGGCGGTAGGTTCCTAAAATGCTCTGCTGGATCCTAACCGCTTTAGTGAATCACCGTTTGTTATGGCTTCCTCTTTGGGAACTGTTCATGTTACTGGGATATAACTACATAATAATGAGGCTGAGAGCGTTTGTTTGTAGATTTATTTTACATTTCGCAGAAATTTTAACTCGAATTCATTCCATAAACTTTTATGTTTTTGGTATCTACAGTCTTCTTTGTACACACAGAGGAAACTCCCCATCTGTCTTCCTTAATTACTTTTCACTCTCATGTGGCTTTTTTCCCTCCCCAAGGGGCTTCAGAGCAAAAGGAACTATTAGTTCAGTGATTATTGGACTGGAGCTTTTTCTTCTCTCTCGCCCCACCTCCCTCTCTCTGGGATTTGGCCCAACCAACCAAGTGTGCTGCTGACTGACACAGTAAGTGATACAATTTAATATTTGTTTCTTGGTTCTGCAGTAAGCTGGAGTTTTCTGAAATTTAGCTCAGTCAACCCCCACCCCCTACTGGGGTTTGGTCCCAGGAATTCACATTAAGCTACATCTTCAGGCCACTTTAAATTTTGAGACAGGGTCTTTTCAAATTCCCCAGGGTGCCCTCTAACTTTAAATCCTCCTAACTCAGCCTCATGAGTACCATGAGCTTTCACCTTGCAAAAGTCTTAAATGTTTATTTACCACTTCATATTGTTAATCAAAAGTAATTTTTCTATCTTGAAGTTGCCTATGGGTAAGGTTTTCCATCTTTTATTTGTATGTATTTTTGTCCAAGGAGTTTTTCCTATAATTGACAAAATGACACAAAAGTACCTTGCTCATTCAGAAAAGGAACATCTATAGTTATTGTTGACCTCCTTAATTGCTCATTTGTAGGTCAACTGATCAAGTACGCATTCTATAAATTAAAATTGAGTTTGCTGATGCTTTCAGCAGGACTATTACATTTTCTTTGTCAAAGTGATTCTATTAATAGCTTTACTTTTAGTTTATTTACCAAAGCATTGTTACGGCATTTTCATAGTAACATACAGTCTTAGAAAAACGACTAATGTCTAACTGTAGCTAAATATTGGGCAAATTGCTAATTACATCTCTGAACCTGATTTCATGGACTCATGCAAAAGGTACCCAAAAGTGTAATATCTACTGTAAATGTGTTGCTTTTATTACTCCCGTGACCCAGCAAGAACACCACTTGAATTTCTTTTCTTTTTGGGTACATTTCTTGAGGGAGACAGGGCACAGCTAATACTATCTGATATTTGTTTTAATAGTTATAAGCCTGATCAGATTTTGTGCTTGACATAATTTTTAAAACTGATTTGGCTAGGACTGCCAAACCCAAACTTCCTAGCACTGTAACATGTTTGTTTCATCCTAGATTCAAATCTCAGCCCTCAGTCCCTAACTTCAAACATTTTCTGTCTCAATTTTCTTGTTACTGTGGTGTTTGCACAATTGAGTTTCAAGACGTCTATCCTGCTTTGTTCTTTCATTGATCTCTATGTATGAAAGCTTTGTTTAACTTTTTCTGAGAAATCTTTTTCCTGAGATGCATGAGGCCCTTCTAGAAGGAATTTAAGCTTTGCCAGTTGTAGGCATTGTAGAGATTTTACTGGTGTCATCTTATAGCAGGTGACTCTCAGTTAAGCATCCCTGGGTACCTCTTACTATTTTTAAAACTACTCACGCCTTGGGTGGTTTTCACAAAATGCTGGCTGCTTCTCCCTGCCTTATGACTTCTTGTAGCTGTTTCAAGAGAAAATATTGTAAGGTTTTCTACATTACACTGTTCTAGTAAGAAGTCTCAGGACTTTGTTATCTTGAGACTCATTAAACATAACTTTTTGGATATATAATTTAAAAATCACTTTATTAAATGCATGCAGTGCTTTATAAATGAGAGAATTACAAAGAAGTTGCTTTGCTTTATAACGCAGCCGAACCACACAGCAAGCAGCCTAGTGTGGGGTGGTTTTACTTCAGGGAAAAGTGGGACTATACTTTGGTTCTAGCTCTTCAACTTCAAAATCTTCAGCCGCTCGCCGTGAAATGGGGCAGGAATTTCAGGTCCTAATTCAGGACTGTTACCCACTAAAGGTGAATTTGTCTTTTTTTTTTTCCCTGTCCTTCTTTAACAACAATGTATAGATTCACCCATTTTCCCATCCCCTACTGTTAGTGCCAGGACCAGATACCCTGATCCGGCAGGGGTTACCCTCAGGAGTCTCCCTCAAGGTGAGAATAGGTACTAATCCGTATCCTAGATGGGGAGGAAATCCCTTAAAACACAAAGAAGTTTCAGAAAAATACCACACTCCGGACCAAATGAAACATTACCAGATCCTGGTTCACCTTCGCAGTATCTGTAAAAGCTGCTCTTTTTTATTACCGAGCCATTGTGATCTCCATCAGAGCTGTGACCTGTTCAGTTAGTTTTTCTTCTCAAGCTGAAGTCATTTTCACTTTGTTTTTTTCCTCAAAGCTTTTGACTGTAATGTTGTGTCATTGCCTTGGTTTTAATTATGATCACAGAAGGAAGTTCTCCCACGTGTCCTGAATGAACTGTACCTTTATAAAAAAGAAAACTAATACCTGAGCACTTGTGAAATGGTGCAGGTAGAATCTTCTGAATACACGGGGCTGAGATTTAGCTCAGTGGCCTAAAAAAGAACTTTCTGAATAAAGTTCACTAACAACTTGCCATTCTTTCCATTCAAAGTAAAATATATCCTCGAGTCTTCCTTCAGATTCTATTTTCTGTATGCTTTAAAAACTTATTCTTTATTTTCCCTGAGATACATTTTATTCAAGAAGAAAAGCAGCAGTGAAATGCTAGAGGCAAGAAATACTCAGCTGTGCATGAAATGTCAATCAGGACTGGTAGGCAAGAGCTGGTAGGGGCTACAGTTTTGATGCAGAGGAAATGCAACCCCCTTAGGTGTGGGATGTGCCAGGTTAGTGGTCCCACCACATCAAGGAATGAAGCTGAGAAGTAAAGGAAGAAGTCAGGAAAGTGTTATTAGAACTAAGGAGAGAAGATCAGTTCCTGTATTGACAGGAGGGGTCCTGAACGGGGCGGCCACCGAGGCACTTTGTTGTGGGCTATTTATACAGTGGAGTCGCAGTGTGTGTACAACATGGGTCAGACTACAGGGTTACAAGTATAGCTGCTTAGCTAATACTGATCCAATAGGGAGACGAGTCGCCGGGCAGCGCTGTATGGAAGGAACAGAGGTGGTTTTAGGAAGGGATGGGTTTCGATGCTCTGGTCACCCACCTGAGCCGCTAACTGATGCCTAGCTTGGACCAGCTGGAGCTAACTGCAGTATAATTCAAGTTCAGGCCTGGCTGTTGGGTCTTTATCTTGAGGTCTAGCCTCCTTCAGATGAGTGTCCAGCCATAATTCTAATGCTAACTCTAATTCCTTTATATTTATTTTTTGCTGACTTCCTTGAGAGCCCCCTCTAGCTCTGTATTTCCCGCTAACTTAGCTGCCTGTTAATAGTTTAGGCCCTGAGAGGAATAGAGAGCCAGTCCTGAGTTGTGTGGTTTTGTAAGCCGTGTCTCCAAGCTGGGGCTTGCCTGGTCTTTCACTTGACTCCGGGCCTAGGCAGCAGTGACCCTTATGAAGACGGGACACTGAAGTAGTACTTGATATGAAGTCCTCATTTCTTGAAAAGAAGATGAGGTTTGTTTTAAGTCGTGGAGTAGCTCCATCTCTTTAGCTTCTGTAGTCTTTCTTCAGATTCATCAATGTTGCTTCATGAAAGTTTGCAAATGTGTGTTCAAAGAATTGAAGTCTCAACTTTTTCATCAGTTTGTTCTAAAATTCTGTCCATGAATTTTTGTTGAATCAAATGAAGGTTTTCTAAAGTATCTTTCTTTTGCTTGTTTTTGGGCTGCTGGGAATTGAACCCAGGGTCTCATGCACAAAGGCAAGAGCCCTACCTCTGAGCCACATCCTAGCCCTGTCTAATATATTATCAGCTAAATGATTAAAAGCTCAGCTTCTTTGCATTCTAAGGAAAGAAACATTTGTGATTGCGGGTGAATTCTTCATTTGTCTTCCAGATCTGTCCATCAGCACTGTCTCAGCAGACCCTGAATGCGTGTCTCAAGGTGTTCTTTGCTTTTCAGTGTTGAGCAGTCAGCACTGAGCAGTGGTTGATTTTCGAGCATGTTATTGCCATAACAATTTATAAATGCCTTGAACTCTGTCACTTGTAGACACACACAGTGCTTTTTGGCACATAATTTTAGTTTTATTTATTTATTGATTGATTGATTTTTATCAGCGCCAGGGATCAAACTCATGACTGCCTGCTTGCAAGGCAGGCGCTTATGCCGCTGAGCTAAATCCCCAGCCCCTTGGCACAGAACTTTAAATCACATCCCACAGTGGCTTTGTGCTACAGTGCCTCCTCCTCCTACTCTAAAAGGTGCATCTAAACTTCTTTACTTTCTGGATTTCTTTCTTTACTGATCCACATCACAGTTTCTGTCATTATTAGTTGACTCATAACTTCAACACTTGTGATCCTCTGCACTGAGTCTGTTCTCTACAGATTTGGTAAAGGGGAGCACTGTTTTGAGAAAGGTCCATGCCGAGAGAATGCCTACTGGTTCTTAGTTTCCCATGGGAAGTCACGTTGAGGTTTTTGACCTCCCCACCAGGACCAGCGTTTCTGAGCTCCCTGGCGTCTCCCCGAACCATAAAATACAACCCTGAGGTGGCAGGAGGACCATTTCCTTGCCGTGTGGACCCCCCTCTCCCTCTCCCTGCTTTACTGCAGACTCTGTCTGTCTCTTCATAATCGTTTCTTTACTTAATAAAACAGTATGTCACCTCCCTATCTTTGACCTTACTTTTGAAAGCTGTAAGGACTCCATGCTTTGATCTCTTTTTGGCCCTAGAACAATTCTCATTTTGAAGCGTGGGCCCCTTGGTATTTTGCTCCACATTGTGTAACTTTCTTAGAAAGTTGCCAAATTCTAAAATAGGAGTTTCCCTAAACCACATTGTTCCAGTGGATGGTGTGTTTGACAAACTTCTGTCATTAAATGGTTGAAAGCCACCTTGATTTGTGTTTCAGCTCCAAGGGGAATTTATTTGCTGAAATCGCTAAATAACCAAGGGTGATTCTAGTGAGGGCAGTTGCATGCAGTTTTCAGTGACAATTTCCAGGAATCTGCTGCTTTCTGTCATGCGACTTTGATTTCTTTTATGTTGGATTTCTGCTCAATTCAGTTTGCCCCAGAAATGCAATTTTTAGTTGTCAGCAAAAGCAGTACTTTTGGGTTTTCTGCTTGGCTTTAAGCTTAAGCTTCTCCCTTCATGATCTCATAGAAGAATTTAAAGCTGTACTCCTGTTCAAGTGAGACAAGATATAAAGAGATTAATTAAAGAAATGATAAGCCCCGCCCAAGAGAACACAGATGGAAGAACTGAGGAAATCAGAAAAGAAAGAGAAACTTCTGAAGAAGAATTTAAACATAACTTAGAATACATGAAACAGATCCAAAGAGAATACCAGGAAACTAAAAACTCTATTGAACACTGGAAAAATGCCTTGACAGAAACTAAAGACAGCCTTCTGAAACTTGAAGAGAGATTTATGGCATATGATCATGAAAGAAAAAGCCTTTAAAAAATAACAAGGAACCAGAAAGAAGCAATTCAAAAACTAGAAGATGACAAAAAGATACATAACTTAAGAATAAAGAATGTGAGTGAGGAAGCAGGAGCAACCAAAAATGAAATACAAAGAATATTCACAGATACATTAAAGCAAAATTTCCCATATTTAGCAAAAAGAAATGATATCCAGATAAAAGAGGCATACAGAACACCAGCTACCTATAACCAAAACAGATCTACGCCTAGACATATAATAATAATAAAGATTCCAGAAATCCACCAAAAGAACAGAATATTAAAAGCAGCCAAAGAAAATATGCAGATTACCTACGACGGGAAAACTATCAAAATAACAGCAGACTTACCAACACAAACTCTTAAGTCAATAAGGGAGTGGGGAGAAATATTCCAAGTCCTGAAAGAAAATGATATGCAACCGAAGCTCATATACCCCTCAAAATTAATGGAGAAATAAGATATTTTCAAAACAAGGAGGAACTGTGGGAGTTCATGGCCACCAATCCAACCCTACAGAGAGTGCTGAAGGACATTACAGAGAAAAGAGAGGAAGAGATAACCAGGATTCCAGCAACAGTGGCAGAGAGGCCTCAGTGAACGGGGCAGACAGTGGAATGAGGGAATAAGGTGGACAAATTATAGCAGAAAAGTGGAGTAGCAGACATGAGGCAGAGACGGTAAGCTATAGGCTTTAGTATAGACAGCTCTGAAACACTATAAAAAAAAGAAAAAGGCAGAGGTCATTGTTAATGGTGTATAAGGATTTAAAAGACATAGTAGTCTTATTGACATATTTAGTTTGAATTTAATACATACTGGTCTGTCCATTCATATCAGATTTGAGGGCACAGACATCTTGACCCAAAAATAGCAGGTTATACCATGGTAACTATCCTTACTTTCCTATTAACTTAAACTGAAATCCTACAATACTTACATTGTCTTACTGTGACTGATCTTAATTGAATCTGAATCATAAGACTGTGGGTTGGCCATGGCTGATTCTATTTGAAATTGGTATGCTTGTTAGTATCAACCCTAAAAGTAGAGGCAACTACTCTGAGGATGACAAGATGTAAAGGATATCCATATGGGTATTAATTAGTAACAGCTCTCAAATCCTACAATGCTGTCAAAGTTAAGTTTTTATAAACATAGTTGATACTATATTTAACTATAATAAGCCAGTGTGGTGGTCACATCTATTGAAAATAACAAGAGAAAACATAGTAACTACGGAAGATCATCTATATTGTGGTCTTATATGTCTTATCCATTGCATGTTTTGCTAGGAAATTGTTTTGCTGTCTTGCTATGACTTGGTATTCCCTATAATACAGAGAGAATAGACATATATGTAGAAATTCACACATGGCGGTTTTTTTTCTTCTTTTTAATTATTTACGGGAACAGATTATATAATGCAAGATGTAATGAACAGATACTCTGAGGAAGAGACGCTAAGAAACCCCGAGACTAATTTGGTAGCATTATGATAGAAATTCTAGCAATACTATTGTTCACTGATTAGAATGACATTGAACTGGTTTCTTGAGTTCAATTTCAGCATATGTAGAGATGGGGACAGCTATCACAAAGAGAATGAGAGATGCGATGGTAGTTACTATTGTCTTCCCTAATTTGGTACTTGAGGACCTAAAAAGCCTCCAATGATTTGATTAGTTCTATAATATGCAATAAGTATATAAAGTGGGTGAAGATGGGGACAACTATTTGTAAGAAACTAGAGACAGTTAGATAGACAATGAAGATCTCCAGTGGGCTTGCTGCGAAATCTGTATTTCTTTAAATTGTTTTTTTAACTGCTTTGTTCTGTTTTGATATGTTTAATCTTACCCTCTCTGAGATGTAAAACAAATGTGTAGGACTGATAACCATATTACTGAACTCTTGTTCGATCATAGAGCAGAAGGGTTTGTAGTGTCACTTTATGAATGTCATTCTAAATACTTTAATTCTATAACATGAACAGCTATTTCTAAGATAACAATGTGTAACTTATCAACCAGCAATTTCTTACCGTTTGTTTTTCTGTAAGTTTGTATTATTTCTACCCTTTTTTTATCTCCATGTATTCTTTTGTTTCCTTTTCTTTAAATTTAAAAAAAAAAAAAAAAAAAAAAAAGCTTAAGCTTCTCCCTAACTGGTGAGAAGGAAACTGGGCTTTTAGAGGCCAAACCTAGGTCATGTTTTGCCCCAGCCCCTTCATTTCCTCAGAAATCAAATGATAAGAAGTGACAGCAGGAAGCTGCCTAAAGGAAGGTTGGGGTGCTGTTACCAAAGGTGGGAAATGATTGCTCCTTAGGAAAAAATAACAGCTGTGTAATGACTAGAAGATCACATTGGTGGGGACTGAATCCTCCCTGAAAGATCCACAGCACATACTGTCACCTTCAAGGTTCTGAGTTTCAATACAATTTTTTAAAAATGCTCATTTGGCAGTGAATCAGAGCATCCCCAGAAATGGTTTCTTTTAGGCCTTGGGAATAATATCCATGTTCCTACTAATCAGTACGTGAGTGCATAGGTGTTTGAGACTGTGAGTAGAGGTTTATAGTTGATAAGTATTTTAACCGTGTCTGAGCTTCTCAAACCAGACTCATTTTTAGAAATTTTAGAATTTTAGAGCAAGACTCATTCATGAAGATGTCATGTCATCATTCGTATCTACTGACTTGATATCTACTGGGGTTTTCAGATGGACATTATAGGAAGAAAATTTAAAAATAACATGGGAATAACCACTTTTTGGAGTTTTCTTTTTCTGGTGCTGTTTCACCTGTTTTGGGGCTAGTTACACCCAAATTAAGGAAGAATAGAAAGCTAAAACTGTTAATTGGGTGGACTATGTAAGGAGTTTATTATTAGTAACAAAACTTTTAGACCAAAGAGAACCTCCTTAGTTCTCAAGTTAAGTTCACCTGCAGTCTGATCCCTGTTCTCACTGTGGAGTTGCTTCCTCCCTCTCTGTTCGGAACGCTGTTACAACTGGTATTTCAGGTCTGTAGAGGATCCTATAGAAACTCTTTACATACATCGGGCAAATGATTGGACTCTGGGGTCTAAAGTCAAATGAATTTTGAAGTTTAGAAAGTCAAATGAACATTTAGAAACAAGTGGATTTGAATAAATTCAGGTACCACCATGGTTTATTACTGTAGTCTTTATAGCAAAAACAAAACAAAACAACAAAATCTGTTGATAATTTAGGTCTTTTTACTTTGATTTCAGAACTACTTAATATGTAGTTCTTGGTGCTCTTAGCAGTTACAAGTTAGACTGTAAGATGAAAGGATTTCATAGTTTCTGATTTGGCTTTGGAGCAGGGAAAGTTAATATTAAGATTCCAAAACAAAACAAAACTGGTTTAATTAAACTCTTAACTATTGAAGGACAGACCAGGAACCACTGATAATGGAAATGACAGTACATTGGTATCGCAGTTCTTGTGCTGGGTCTTTTGGTGTTTAAAAGTATTCCTCTGTTTTGATATTGTTGCAGTCAGGGTTTGCAAGAGAAACCATTTAATACAGGACTCATAATTTATAGGATTATTTTTATAATAGTCACCCAAAGCGTCAAGTACAAAAGCATACAGGAAGTCTGTCCATGCACTAGAGACCCAAAGAATCCAGCTGAGGGCCTGGATCCCATAGCAACGTCCCCATGAATCCAGCTGGAGACCTCGAGCCCATGGCAGTGACCCCTCACCAGTCCAGCCAGCAGCCTAGAGCCCACGACAATGTCTCATGCAAGTCTGTTCCTCGGTTCTGCACTGGGAAGGCCTGTGCAGTGGTAGAAGCGAGAAAGTCTGTGCCAGCACAGTGAAGGATCTGTGCCAGCAGGCTGAGGCCTGCGCTGGAGCCAGGAAGTGATGCTCAAAGAAAGGAGCAGAGCTCCCCAAAAAGTACCCCAGCCTTCCTCAGCAGCAATGAGACCCTGAGCTCCTCTGATGGTGACAGTCGAGTTCGTATCAGGAGAGCCAGCACGGGAAGCTTCTGCAGGAGATCCCACAGCACCGCCTCTTCCTCTCCAGTTCTCCTTTGAAGCTGTTGGCAGCAATCCTCAGGTGGCCCCTCCGCACCCAGCACCACACTGGTTCAGTTCTGCTGGGTGTTACAAGTGGGCCACCAGTTGTCCGCCCACCATGCATATCTTCACTATCTGTTCCAATTACTTCAGATGTAAGAAACTGATTTCATGTGTCCCTCCCCATCAGCAGAAAAGGTCTAGACTCATAACAAGAATCTTCTGTATGAAATACAATGAGTGGATAAGTGTAATATGCACGTTTCCGAAAACCTAGAATGTTTAACGGAATCATGTGATGTTTGTGGAAAAGAATATGTGTCGTATTTTTTAAATGAATGCATACATTTCAATGTCAGATTCAAATGTGGCTTTGCTAGAATTAAAATGCCGGTTCACTCATAGGTTAATACCCTTGTAAGTTGTTACTTTCCTGAAGGAGAGTTTATCATCTGCTTTACAGTTGGAGAAAACGACTGTTTGAGAGCCTTCCTGTTTTAGACCTTATGCTGTCAAGTGAGTTTTAAAGTTCATGAACTCTTTTTCTATCACGCGTCCTACGGAATTAACTATTCAGTTCAGTATTAATTTTCCTGTTTTCTTCAGTCCAGTTAGAAAATTCAGATGTTTGAAACTTGGTTGTCTTTTTCACTGTCTTTATTTAGCAACCTCTTTGGAGGCTATGGCTGAAGAGCCCGATCCTGAGGCCCCACGAGACAGTTCAGAATGGCTCTTCTCCTTCGGAGTTATAGCTGATATTCAATATGCTGACTTAGAAGATGGGTACAATTTCCAGAGAAACAGACGGCGGTACTACAGACACAGCCTTCGTCACCTGCAGAGTGCCATTGAAGAGTGGAACAAAGAAGGCATCGTGCCCTGCTGTGTCCTCCAACTTGGGGATGTCATCGACGGCTACAATGCGCAGTGTAAGACATCCGAGAAGTCTCTAGAGCTCGTTATGGACGCGTTTCAGCTGCTTCAAGTCCCCGTTCATCATACGTGGGGAAACCATGAATTTTATAACTTCAGCAGAGACTACCTCACAAACTCTAAACTTAACACAAAGTTTCTAGAAGACCGGATTATACATCACCCCGAGACCGTCCCTTCAGAGAATTATTATGCTTACCATTTTGTCCCCTTCCCTGAATTCCGGTTCATTTTACTTGATGCTTATGACTTGAGTATCTTGGGTATAGATCAGTCTTCTCCAAGATACCAGCAGTGTCTGAAGATTCTGAAGGAGCACAATCCAAACGCGGAATTGAATAGTCCTCAAGGTGAATTATGTCTTTGAACTGAGAATCTAATACATTGTCTTTAAATTCTTCAGCTACCTTTTGTTCAGCAGGAAAATGGATGATTCAGGTAAAAATGTTTTTCACTGTCGTTCAGGGTCAGGATTCACACAAGCCTGATATCACATGGTTTGGTTGTAATTGATTCAAGTTTCATTCTGGGCCAGTCACCTTAAAATATCACATTTTCCTTTTCCTTGTGAATGGAATGGAGAGAACCAAAGAAGTAGGTGAGCAGGACATTTAATAAGTGTGTTAACTGTATCATGATGAAGCACCTGAGATAAGCTATGAGGAGAAAAAGGTTATTTAGGCTCATGATTTCAGAGGTGTCAGCTTTCTTCCCTGGGCCCCGTTACCTTTGGACCTTTGACGAGGCGGTGCATCGTGGCAGGAAGCATGTGGGGGAGCAGGTGCCTGCCTTATGGTGGCGGGAAGCAGTGTGTGGAGGGGAGCCGGGGCCCAAACACCCCATTCAAGTTCACACCCCTCCTGACCTAACCTGTCCCCACCCGGCCCCTCTAGAAGAGTCCACCACCTCCTGGTGCCTCCATGGGCAAGCGCCTAACCCTTTAACACTCGGGCCACTGGGGCATTAAGGCCCAACTCGTAGCAATACAAAACAGAAACGTTATTTCTACAGTGGTAAGTGCTGCCCAGAAAACAGATTGTAATGTTACAGGTGAGGATTCAGGACGCAGCTTTAGATTATTTGATCAGAGAACCTCTCCAAGGAGAAGATCGTTAAAGCTGAAGGCATTGTCCTTAGGAAGAACAAGGGGAAAGAGGTTAGCAGACAAGAGGAAAAACAAATGCACAGACACAGAGTGTAATAGGACCGTGACATCATTAAACAAGACAGAAAAGGGCCAGTGAGCTATGAGCTGATTTTGAAGACTGAACAGGGCCTGGACTCTCTCATGGGCTAAGGACAGAGCCAGGAGTTTGTATTTTCTTTTAAGTGAAGTGGAAAGCCAGTAAAATAAAAGAATGCCAAGACCAGAAATAAGACACGGTGTAATGTATATATTGGTCAAAATTCTTAGGAATCTCTAAAGTTTATTGCTGCTAATCAAGTTTCCTAAAGAACAGAACAAGTATCCTTGTTTGATCGCCCACGTGAGGGGAAGAGTGACGTTTGATGCGTGTGATTTACTGACTTCATTCAGGACTGTGTGAGCCCCAGTTTGTGCAGTTCAATGGAGGATTCAGCCAAGACCAGCTGAACTGGTTGAATGATGTTCTGAAGTTCTCTGACACAAACCAAGAAAAGGTGGTGATCGTGAGTAAGTATGTAAATTGTTTATCTGATTACAGTAGTCTTTTAGAGATTGGGAAATGTTAGCATCCTCATGATATGTATGTTTTGGTACCCGCTTTCTAGAAAATGAATACTTGCTTTAAAAATTTCTATTGAAAGAGAAGCTGAATCCAAGATGAATATTTAAGAATGAGTTAGGAGAGAGCCTGGTGTTGTGGTGCTCGCTTGTCATCCCAGCAGTTGGAAGGCTGAGGGGGAAGGATTGGTGCGAGTTCGGGGCCAGCCTGGCTACACAGTGAGTTCCAGTTCCAAACTGAGCTACATAGTGAGACCCTCTCTCAAAACAAAGAACAAGGAGAGAATTATAAAACAATAAAAAAGCCATCTTGTCATATATTGAGTCTGAGTTTGCCCTTGTTGATCTCAAGATATGATTTCCCTAAATGGGATCAATTTATGGAACAATTTTTAAATGAGAAATTCAGTACAGGCTCCATTCCAAATGTCAGTCTTCCAAACCTGTCCGTGAGGTGGCCACCAAACAAGCCACTGCTGCCCAGGTGCAAGCCTTACGGGATGAGTGTGACAGGCGCAGGTGGCAGGGAGCACTTTTTCTGTCTGTGTCAACCGCGTGATCCCACGGGAATTAGATTTACATTCTTTCCGTTCAGAACGGTTTTGACAGATGCCATCTGGGAACCTGGAAGGACTTAAAACACGCATGTGTGTGAACCGACACATGCAGAACTGAATCTGAATTTGCAGTATGGCCGCTAGGCTTGGTTTGGGACTGACCTTACAGCCCTTGTTTCGAAAGCATCATGACTTCAGTAGTCGAGAAGCCTGGACTGAGAGCAGAGGGTGGCAGGTCTCTCTGGCTCTCATTTGTTAGATGAGCTGTGTAGCCCTGGAAAAATACTGAACATGCAGACGGAAGTTTTCTCAGTATTGCATCAAATAAAAGCATGACTGTGGAACCCTTTGAAAATAAATGATGGGCAGTTCATATAGTTACTATAAAATTATATTCTTACTCGTAAATGTAGTTTTTGCATATTAGTCGTTCACTGGATAAACAGTGGTGGAGGGGTATCTGTGCTGTTGAATGTCAGGTATCACAACTTGGGAGAGGTAAGGTCCCCGCAGGTCACTGGGATGTCACGACACCATGTGACTCTGCCTGTAGTGCCCTTAGAAAACGGGGTGCTTCCTGCCTTGTGTCTGCTTTTTGATTTGCCACTGCCAGTTTGAGCTGGAGTATTTGAGCTGGAAACAGCCTACAGATCATGTAGACAGATCTTTTTATTTTTAAGGCAGAGAGCCTGAAGCCCAAGAGATTGAACCCCACAGCTAAAGTCCTACAGTCGGCTGACAGCACTGACACTGGCGTCCGTGCCCCTTCCGCGTCTGCCTGTTCCCCTTCACATCTGCTTTTCTGTTTGGTTTTCTGAGATGGGGTCTTGCTGTGTAGCCCAGGCTGGGCTCTGCCTCAGTCCTCCCGCTCGGCCTGCTGAGTGCTGGGGTCATAGGTGTGAGGGGCGCGCCGGGCCACGCCTCCCTGTGCTGTGTGCACCGTGTCAGTCTACGGCAGTCTCTCTCTCATGTCTTCACCATTGGCTGAGAGTTTAGAAGCTGGATAAGCAACCCTGAACAACAGTCTCCCTTTAGTACAGTTAAAAGGTAAAGTTTGATTGAGACACGCCGGGCTCCATATGCCTGTTAGAGTTAGAGATGTGAACATCGCGGAGCGCCCATCACGGCACTCAGTGTACGTAGACAAGTCCGAGAACCAGGCATTTGGCTAGTACTCCTGACCAGATGCTGGGGAGCTCAGGAGAAACCAGCACAGGAGCTTGAAAATTAGTGGTCACTGAAATGGGAGGAAGACCAGCAGCGTCCTAGACATCAAGTACTTCCAGGAGAAGGGGACTCCTAACTGTGTCATTTGATACATGGGTCAGTATAGCTTCTACACAATTAGCTCTTACAGCAGGAACTTTCTCATGTGTGTGTGTCTGTGCAAGAGGTGGGCGGGCATAGGTACATGGATTCCACCCCTGCTTTAGTAGCCCGTGGGCTCCTTCTGTCCTTTTGACTTGAATTATAACATATTTATGAAGAGAATATTTAAATTTCAGAATAAAAATGAACAAGGATCAAAAAAAGTGATTAATTGGTCGGAAGCAGAGGTCAGTGACCTATGTTGCCTGGACCTCAGAATGAAACTGGCCTAATACATACCTGGGCTCACACTTGTGCTGGCTCAGGATTCTGCTGCATCTCCTTCCACATGTCTTCTGTGGGGCCCAATCAGACCTTTCCTGCTTGAATTAGTTTTCTCATCTGTCGATTGCTTAGGGCTGCGTTGACTGCATGGGGATGTGTAAAGTCTCATTAATCAGTTCTGTATTGTTATTTGTATGAATGACATATAATCCATGGCTAGTCCCTAAAGTGTTCCTTTATTTTGTATCACATCGGTCTGTATATATAACATATATAAGGAAATCCATGGCATTGGGCTCTAGTATGGCACCTGCCTGAATTCTAGCAGACTTTACAGACCCGTGCACAGGATGCCTGTGATCTTCAGTGTTTGTGCAGTCTGAGACTATATATGGGTTTTCTCTGTTCTCCTGTCTATTTGCATGATCAAGTAATAATATGCAGTTATGTTTAGTATTAGCTTTTAGCCATTTATCGTGAAAGAAAGATATTTCTTCGCTGACTCATGACTTCTTTTAACAGGTCATATCCCCATTTACCCAGAAGCCTCTGACTCTGTGTGCCTGGCCTGGAATTACAGAGAGGCCCTGGAAGTCATTTGGTCTCACAAGTGTGTGGTGTGTTTCTTGGCCGGTCACACACATGACGGTGGCTACTCTGAAGATCCTTCTGGTGTGCACCACGTCGACCTAGAAGGAGTCATTGAAACTGCTCCAGACAGCCAGGCTTTTGGCACAGTTCATGTCTACTCTGACAAAATGGTGTTGAAAGGAAGAGGCAGAGTTCCAGACAGAATTATGAACTATAAGAAGGAACTCCTCTGAGATTGCTTTACCTTGTGTATAGAAAGAGGAAGACTTTGCTCTGGGCTCGTTCCAGTCACACAACAAGGAAATCACAAAATAAATATCCTGAACCTCATTGTTGTGCATCCTTGATAACCAAATGTGTTCATGCTTCAGAGTTTGTTGATAAAATACTTGAAAATTGCACTTTCGAATGATACATTCATTCCTGAGAGTTAGAAAAAACAAAGGAGGAGTCTGCAGTGGGAGTCTATAGTGCTAATGAGGGATCTTAGTTGTGTTTACCTAAAAAAATGTTGGTTTATAAAGAGAATGTATTCATGTTAGCTGAATAACTTAAAATATAATAAAAAATGAAGTTCTGTTAAGATTTTTCTGTTCATTTGTGTGTAAATGAGCTTTGGACAGGTTTTGCTCAGAATACCTGAGCTTGGACTTTATAGGCTTCCATTCCCATTTTGTGAATAAAAACTTTTAAGTAGTTGATGACTTAAAAAGTTAATGTCTGGTAATGTCTGCACCTCAAAATCCCTAACCACATCTGCAAGGTCCATTTTGTAACATAAGGTGATACTGCTTTGAGGGATTAGAACCTGTGTATGTACGCGGCCCACAATCAACTGGGCAGAGATGATGTCTTAGTTACTTTTTACTCCTTGCAACAAATACATGACACCCAAAGTTAGGAAGGAAGGTTTATTTCTTACAGGTTGGAAGTTTTAGTCTATACACAGTTGGCTCCAAGGCAAGATGGCATGGCGGGGCAGCCATTTCATGGCCTCCACAAACAACAAGGTGCAAATTGGCCAAATAGAGATACCCCTTCCTGCCCTTACATCCTATGCTGGCTCCACCCCTAGGTGGGTGTAGCACTCGTACACCAACCCGAGTCTAGACAACGGACCAATCACAGTGCCAGATTTGGCTGTCCACCATTGCATGAGGCCTGGGGGCCACTCACCTAAACCATGACAGATGAATTAGTAATGTGCTCCTATAAACATAGATCATAATGAAACAAACAACAGATGTGTGAGATTAGCTGTCATTTGAAGAAAGGGCCTGGAACGTGGAGGTTCATTGTATTTGCAGTATCAATGATGGTGTGAAAAAAGAAGACAAATGGTTTAAGTGGGGAAGAGCATTTCAAGCAGAAAAAGAAGCAGAGGAATGACAGGATCTGTTGAATTTAGGAGCAGCAAGTAACACTATGAGGATTCAACCAGAAGGTGCTTGGGGTATAGTGAGAAATGAAGCTTCAGCAGATAGGGAAGGACTATGCTGTGGAGCCCTTAAGTGGTGAGCTAAGCGAATTTCACTTAAGAGGAGCTGAGGAATTCATGACCAGAGGTGTGTCAGGCCACGCAGTAGACAGCCAGAGGCTAACGTAGGAGAGGGATAATGGGAAGAAAACGGTGGGGGAGGCATACTGAGAACTGAAATACTGTTTACTAATAATAAGTTGGATACTAAAACAGTTGAAAATGATTGGCTTGCTAAAAACTCTTAGGGTGCTCTGCCACAGGTGGCTTTTATGTTTAACTCGATATGCAAAAGTACTGTGACTATTCGCAGAATTTACAGTCCTGATATGGGAAAGGCAAATACTGTAAGCATATTACTTGAACATTACCGTCATTTAAGCAGAGAGTTAAGTATGATTTGGAAAATGGGTAGAGCTGACACAGAATTTGCCAGTGAGTTCATTTATTTGTCTGTAAGTTTAGTTAATTCTAATGGAGCTATAAAGCCATAGATAACATGAGCTAGATGGAAACTAGACAACTCAAATCCTTTAATGTGTTTCATTGACTCTTCAATTATCCATAACTGCTGTTATATCAACAAGATTGTTTTTCCTTAATACAGCATATCTGACTTCAGTGGCCCCTGTGTGCAAAACAAAAAATTCCTACCTTTTTAAAGGAACACTTACAGAATGCTTATTGTATTAAATGGTATAAAAACAAAGCAACAAACTGTCAAAGTCATTTTCACACCTAACATGTAGGTGCTGGGGACTGAACTCAGAGCCTTCACACCAAGTTATAGCCACACACTTAAAATTGTTTTACTTTAATCAAGTCTTGCCAAGTCACAGATTCGGCTCAAAATTTCTTCCCTCAGCCTCCCTGGCTGCTAGGATCCTGGCTTACTACTTCTTTTTAAGTATTTCCTAAACCTTATGAAAACAGTATCTGACTCTGAGGCTAGCATGGGTAAAAAAAGTTGCAGTGTAGACATCTCACTGAAATGCAGTGTGGGAAGAGACCAAGAAGTCACCAAGCAGCAAGCCCTCCCTGTGAATTGCTGCCATGTGTGGGTTGCTGGGGAGAGAGCCCGATGCCAGCCCCTTCTGGTGTGCAGGCTGGGAAGGGAAGAACCAGCACCCCCACGTCCATGCTGACCTCGCCGAAAGTGACCAGGTGATCCAGAGAAACGCAGGCTGTGATGATGGCTACTGAGGTGGAATACAATTTAATGCTGCAGTGCTGAGTGTTTCACTGACTTTGCAGGTCTAAAGCCAGTGGTCTGATCATCTACTCAGAGGACCGCAATACTCAGTATAGCATCTGTGGGGATCTCCTTCTGGGGGTGGTGGCCACTGCTGACTCACTATTGTCTTGGTGTGAAGTTCTGTATCATTTTCATTGTTTTGTTTGATTTTATTGTATCCAATGGCATGGGCAGCTGTTTCAAAGATAACAAGCTATATTATAGAGCCATTTGGGGTTTTCTATTATCTTGTTTTGAAGTCCTGTATTGCATTCATTGTTTTGTTTTTATTGGTTCTAATCTGTTCTGTTTTGTTTGATTTTTACTGTGTCTGAAGGTATCTGCAGCTATTTTGAAGACAGCAGGAGGCATCATGGTAACCACTGTGGATTTCCTAGTGTTTTGAAGTCCTGTGTCACACCGGTTTGTTTTGCTTGACTTTGTTCTCTTGTGTTTTATTCTCTTTAACATAAAAATAAATTTAAAAAAAGAAATGCAGTGTGAATCACATAAATAAGAATATTCTAGCAGTTACATTTTAAAAAACTAGAAACAGATGAAATAGTTTTAATAGTATTTTATTCAATATATATTAAAATATCTTTTCAACATGAGATCAATATAAAATATTTTATTCTTTTTGTACAATTTCTTTAAAATCTGGTGTGTATTTTATACTTAACAGCCCACTCATTTGAACAGTAAATTGTTGCAAAGACGATCTGCATGTAGATATCAAAATTTGCAGTTGAAAACGTAGGTTCAAATGCCCAAGTTGTTCCAGGCACACTTAAATATTTTCTGATAATTGAATATCATTTTAAAAATCAAAAACACTGCAAATTTACTTTGCCAGTCACCCTAGCTACATTGCAAATGCTCAATAACAGCGTGTGGCCATTGGCTGTCATATTGGAGAGAACAGCTTTTTAAAAATGCTCTCTATTATCTGTATAACTTGTACCCTTTCCCTGCTTTTTTTTTCTTTTCTCCTTAAATAAAATTAAAAAAAAAAAATGCTCTCTATTTTGGCTGGGGATTTAGCTCAGTGGCATAAGCACCTGCCTTGCAAGCAGGTGGTCATGAGTTTGATCCCCGGTACTGATAAAAAGATGTAAAAAAAAAAAAAGAAGCTCTGTATTCTAGGGTCACTTACAACATTCATTTTTTTTTAAAAAAATGTGGATATTTTGGCCTTTTTCAGAATAATGAAATTAATTATTCTTAATTAATATTCTGTTTCCTTCTTGATTGGTCCTAAGGTCCTTTCCCCCTTCTTAGTTACTTTTCTCACTGCTGAGATAAAATACCTGATGCCCCAAGTTACAGGAGGAAAGGTTTATTTAGCTCACGGTTTGTGGAGGTTTCACTCTGTAATCTGCTGGCTCCAAGGCAGAATGGTACATGTCATAGGGCAACAGTGGATGGCAGCAGAAGACAACAAAAGCCACAGGAGCAAAAAGGGAGGAGTGGAAAGAAGACTCCTTCTGTCCAATACATTGTACGAAGGCCACACCCACCTATGGTGGAGGAGGCACCCACACCCATAATTCCAGCACTGGACCATGAAGCACAAAATCTAGAAGCCTGCCCTCATGATTGCATGAGGCTTCAGGGGGACATCCAGACACAAACCATAACACCCCCCCTTCAATAATCTTTATTCCAAGACACAATGGTTGATTTCATTCAACTACAGTCTTTAATTCCTGACTCTAAAATAGTATATGAGATTAATTTAGGGCTATAGGCATCTCTGGGACCTACCTCTCTTTCAATGGTTCTCAGTTTTAGTTATGTTTAGCACTTCATAATTTCCAGTACTTTATATTTTCAGAGTATTTCATGTCTACTTGGATTTTAACAGCTGTATAAATAAGTAGAGGATCTGGTATTTCATTCTACAGATAAGAAAACAACTATCAGGCATGTGTCATTGTGCCTAACAAAAGACAGATTTCTTAAGTTCCATTCTTGCGCCTTGTGACTACACTTAGCACAATGTCCTTCATGAAAGGCAGCCAGAGAATGTCAGACCCCATTCTTATTGTTCTGTACAATCTTACAATGTACTGTAGGCAGTCGTAAAAAATTCTGAAGACCTTTTATAGATTTCTTATTTGTAGATAATCTCTTATGTCTGCTCACATTACCTTAAATGAACTGGAAAACTCTTCCGTTATGCCAAAGTTTATAGGGAATAGAATATTTTCATTTTTAGAGCACACCCTTCTTGGATTCACTTAAATCACTGTCTTGCAGTGTGTCGGCCAGGAAGAACGCATCTCCTTGTTTATATACACATAGACCCATAAAATAAATGGGAAAAGAGGTATTACAATGGCAAGAAGAAGCTGAACTCTTCCAACACCAAGTGGATTTCTATAAAAACATACAAAAAATTAAAAGTAAAAATTTAATAAAAATTATGGGATGCATGGGGGACAAAGGATAAAGATTTAACTGGTAAACACAAATATACTTTAATATATTTTTCTCAATTCTTTAAAAAATTTTAAAAATTATTTAGTACCTGTTTGCAATATACAGTACTTACTTTCATTATAGGGAGTTGGTGCACACCACGTCTTAATTCTTTTCTGTTCCTTTCCCCTCTATTCCTCCTTCCCTCCATCTCTCGGTTCCCTTGTCATTGTCATCAGTTCTTTAAATTATAATATAACTCACTGATTTATAGAATTTCTTTATATCTACTTAATACAATTCTTACTATTTATGACTGTTGCAAGCATCCTCCCACACTCAAATGATTTCTTATGAGGAACCCTGATTCATTAGACAGTGTTAAAATTGATCTTCTCTTGGTTTTTAAGAAATATTTTCCTCTTCAAGCTCTTGAAAATATCGCAAACTTCTCTAAACGTTTTACTGTTTTCCCTCTATTAGATGTACAAACTGCCGGGAATTGATTTTTATGAAAATTTTGAGGTCAGGGTTGTTTTACTTGCTTCTGTACAGATACAGACACTTTTCACTTAAAGACCATGTTCCATTCTGGCATGACTAGGTTGTTGAATGAACTGGTCACTAAATGAGGGATTATGTATAGTATATACATTACAATATTCAGAACAAAGAAATGGTCAAGGAAACTCCAACTGGGTGACTTTGCTTTGATTTGCATAACTTCTCCGTGCAATATTGTAATGTTTAATAACGTAAAACAGTACAGTACAATCTACAAAAATTACAGCACCAAATAAATAAAGCGTACTGTATAAAAAAGACATCAAGGTTCTATAAGCAAGGTATATAGAACTGCAAAAAAAAAAAAAAAAAGAGTTGAGCACTGCCTCGGTCATAAATCAGAACAGTCGTTTAAACAGTAGGTCATTAAATGAGGAATATCTATGTTCAGTTGTTTCAGACACTATTTATAGAAAAGTCTGCCTTTCTTGGCTGCCCTGTCCTGTCACCTTCACCATGTATATGGATCTGGTCTAGATCGTATTGCATTCTGTTAGTTTATCCTGCTGCCAGTATACGTTTATCCCTGCAATTATTTGGGTTTTCTTTAATTTCCCACACTATTGTATAATTTTGTGTGCAAAGATTTTGCATATGCTCCTAGATTTAATTTTAGGAATCTGGCTTTTTTGATGTCAATTAAATGATGTCAATAAATGGTCAATTTTCAACACTGTGCTACTTGCTAATAGAAATGTAGTTGGACTTTGGAAATCAACCTAGCATCTAATAGTCCTGCCTAACTCACCTATCCAAGTAACTTCTTAGAATCTTTAAGTTTTCTATATATTCAATGACATCTTTCACCCATAAGTTATGAAACTGTTATTTCTTTCCAATCGGGGTGCCTTTTATTTTATTCTTGTCTTATTGTACTAGAACATGATGAGAAATGGCAGTACTGGGTGATCTCATCTAGTTCCTGATCCTAGAGGGGACGTCCTGAGGTGCTCAACATTAAGTACCATGCTTTGATGGAGATACTCTTTACTGGGTACCTACACCTGTAATCAAACCTGTGTTCTGAGAGCTGTCATCTCGAGCAGATGGTGAGCTTTTTGGATGTGTCTGTAGTTCAAGAAGCGTTTACTTTTTCACCTTATTTCGCTAACATACTGGTAAATACTGCTTTTTAAGTGATAAACTAACTGTGTCCTAGAATGAAATCACCTTGATTGTTGGGTTATATTTTGTAGGTTTCGATTTGTTAATATTTCATTTAGGATTTTTTCATCTATGGTCATGAGTGGGACTGCTGTATAATTTCCCTTTATTTTATAATATTCTTGGCAAGTTTGTGATCAGGGTCATTCTGTCCTCCAAAGTGGATAGTATTTCTTCTTTTTGTAGATCCTAGAAGTGTGTGTTGGTTGGCAGTATATTTTCCTTAAATGTCAGAATTCTCTAGCTATGCTACCTAGGTCTGCAGGTTTGTTTTAGGAAAAATTTATATTATGGATTCAGTTTCTTTAATTGGTGTGTGACTGCTCTGAACATTTCTCCTTATGTAAATCTTCATTGATTTCTAAAAAAAAAAATCTGCCCATGTAATCTAAATTTTCAAATTTTATGGCATAATGCTTTTCATTGTGTTCTATTAGAACTTTTAAAATATGTTAGATATATCATGTTTTCTCCTCCCTGATATTTTTTGTTTGTACTTGTTCTTTTATTTATTTCTCCTCCTTAGTCTCACCACGGCTTGTAAGTGTTATTGATCATTTTGGAGAATCTGTATTTGGCCTTATCTCTGCTCTGTTTTTAAATCTTTTTGGTACTGACTGGGGCCTTCACACTGAACTACATCTCTAGCCTTTTTAAAAATTTAAATTTTGAGACAAGGTCTTGCTAAAGCCTTGCTCAATGGCCCAGGTTGGGTTTGAAGTTGCAACCCTGCCTTACCCTCCCAGTTTTGGAACGATAGGTATGTGGATTAAATGCTCTATTTTTATGATGATTTTTCTTTTAATGGATTTCTGCTTTTACATGTAACTTCTTGCTACTTTGTGTTTCATTTGATATTCTTCAAATTTCTTGAATTAGAGAATTCTGAACTATTTGAAGTTTAGCTCATTAATTTTCATCTTTTCTTGCTTTTTCTCCTTTTTAAAATGTATATGTTTAAGAGAAAAGGATAAAATGGAAACAAACTTTTGTAAATAAGTTGGGGGAGAGAGGTTGAAAAGGGGAGAGGAACAGAAAAAAGAGGAACTAAGATATGTCACGTACAGAGAAAAATGCCTTATGATGAATGTGATCATTATGCATATCTAAATTGCACCAATAAACTTAATTATAAAGAAGATTATGTATTTAAATTTATAAATTTTCCTCTAAGAATCACTTTTAGCTACGTCCCCTAAATTTTGGTATATAGTGTTCTCCTTATTCGTTTATATTTTTAAATTTCCAGTCTGATTTTGTTTTTTGATGCAAGAGTTACCTGAAAGGTTATTTCCTAACTTCTAAATTTACACTGCTTGATTGTCATTTTGTTAATGATTTCTAGCTTAACTGCACTGTGGTCAAAGAGCATATTCTAGGAGTCCTTTGAAATGTGTTCAGGTTGTATTTCAGTGGCCAACCAGCTAGTCTATTTGTAAATACTCAGTGTATGTGAAAAGAAAGTGGGTTAAGTTTTTTGTTGTGTATTTAAATTTTCTGTGTTTTCATTGATTTTTTTTGTTTGCTGTGATTAGTAACTAACAAAAGTGTGTTAATGTTTCCCAAAATAATTGTGGATTTTTCAATTCCTTTTAATTCTGTCAACCTTTGTAACTCTTTTTCAGTATATAAAAATTTAGAATTCTTATATGTTGTTGGCATAAGCTGTTGTCAAAAAAAAAAACTATCTCTTTTTGGCATCTTATATTCATTTTTTAATAAGTGTTAATAAGAGATAACCAGATACTCGTGTAAAAAAAAAGGTAACATTGGACCCCCTTTCTTCATTTCTTCAGAGTAAATTCTAAACTGCGTTCGTGTATGTGTGTGTGTGTGTGTGTGTGTGTGTGTGTGTGTGTGTGTGTGTTTTGGTAATGGGGATCACACTCAGGGCCCTGAAGATGCTAAGCAAGCAAGTACTTTACCAGTGAACCCTGTCCTCAGCACAATTCTAAACATTTAAATGTAAAAATGAAACTGTACATGTATTACAAGAAAACTTAGGTGAATTACTTTATGATCTGAAAATCTTCATGTAACATTTATGCAAACTACTTTACAACCTTTCTTTCTCTCTGAAAATCTTTGACTCTTTATTATTTTATAATTGACATTTAACATAATTTCAGATACAGCTGGGTTTAAATCTCTACCTTAACATGTGATTCCTATTTGTCCTACTTGCTCTGTGCTTTTCCCCATTTTTCTTGCCTTCTATATTCAATTTCTAGTCTTTAGAGGTTACCCTAACACCTACACAATGAACCAGAGTCTAACATAAATGTGTACTTTAACTCACTTTAGAAAATCCAAGATCCCTAGAATATTTCTACTGTAATCTATGTATTACTGTTGTTGTGTATTTTTATAGTGTATGTTTAAGCTCTACCAAACATTATTCTTGTTTTGTAAGTTAATGTTTATTTGTAAATACCCAACCATATATCTTTTCTTTGCCCTTCCTTTCTGAATTTCTAAGTCTCCTTCTAAGATGATTTTCCTCCACTTTGAAGCATGCTCCTGAGACTAACAACTACCAGTTACTACTGGGCCTCACAGGAAACTGCCTTACTCAAGAATGCATGAGAGGTCAGGAACATTTAAATCAACTACCCTTGCTTTCCTTACAAAAGGAAAGATTCCTTCCAAAAGATTGTTGTTTTCATTTGTGTGTCAAAATTTCAATTATGATCTAACTTTATTGACCGAGGGCCATCTGATTTTTTTTTTTTTTTTGTCTTTTTCATTTTTATCAGTACCAGGGATCAGACTCACGACTGCCTGCTTCCAAGGCAGGCGCTTATGCCGCTGAGCTAAATCTGCAGCCCCGGGCCATCTGATTTTAACTGATGAGTTGAAAACTTACTTTGAAGAACTGTGGCACAGACTCATCCATGCTATGATAATCACCAGACCAGACAGCTCCCTGCAAAACAGCACCAATATTTCAAATTTTTAAGAGATGGCAACATCACCTATTTCAGGTCAGTGGGAAGAATAATATAACCAATAAAATAATCCTGATTTGTTATTTTTACATTTTCAGAGGCTTAATTGTAGGAGGAGCTCAAATCAGTGCACAACTGGAGCACATACTTCAGGAGCGTGGAGGAGAATACAGGGGAAATGGTTTTGATTGTGGATCAACCATCGGGGTGAGTGTGTCCTTCTAGCCATGTGTGCTCAAGCCCACACATTACACAGAATAAAGAGAATCTATTCGGCCATGGTGCCCGTCAGCCCCTTCTTGGGCTCACTGTACCTCGTGGCCTTCAAGCTGGAGGCAATTCAGCCCGTCTGATCTGCATTCCTCCCTGCAGACCCAGCTGGACGGCTTCTCCAGCCTTCCCTGGGTAACACAGCAGCACCTCACGCGTGATCCCTGACTTACAGGTCTCTGAGGCTGAAGTTGGCCGGTGTCGGCAGACAGGTAACAAAGAGGGATTTTTAATAATACCACGAGTCATGGGCGGAAGGAAACAAAAGAAGAGGTGATAGAACAGGAACATTTGGCCGTGACAGAGAGGAGAGGACATGAGACGCACCAAGGCAAGGCCAGCAGGAGGCCAGTACTGGCCTCTGACACAGACGGCCGATCGCTCTTGTAGATGAGGGTTCCACTTAGAGCTGGATCCGAGTTCTGACAGAGATCTCACCCTGCTGGCTGGACCTAGGTATGACTGTACGTACTCTTGCAAGGCGGCCAAAGTCTGAGACCGTGAGAGGGGAAACAGGTATAAGGATTGCTGAGAGCAGTGATCATGGAGCTGCACAGACGGGGCTGGTTGGTCCTGGGTGCATCATTTCCTCAGCTGAGAAGCCTGCTGCGCGGTGCAGTCAGGGGCATGATACCATCACCATGACAGGTAAGATGAGGTTGGAAAGGGGTGAAAGATTGCCCGGTTCTACCCCTACGCCCACCCCAAAACCGAATGTCCCTGCTCACCTGCCTTCTTCCTCGTGTAAGATGTTGTGCTGTGCACGCAGCAGGAGGGAGCAGGCCAGGCCGGCAGCCCACAGCAGGCAGAATAAGACGTGCGCTGCAGAAACAGTCTTCCAGATGCAGCTACCTAAAAGCGGATACCCCGATGCTGTTAACCATGGACCCTCACATCCAGAAAAAAACGATCCCTGTTCCTGTTCTGTCCTAATCTTCTTTCCAGAAAGACACTCAGAAAAAAATACCTTTAAAGGGACAATTTAGAGATTAGACCACTAGTTATAACATAAGTGGACACATTCCCTTTCCTAGGACAATAACGCTTATTTTCTTCGGGAAGCCTCACTTCCCACACTGCTAGTCCATGCAGGCCAGAGAAATGGACCTTAGGTCAGCCAAGCATTTATTACCTTAGCCACTGTCATGTGGCTCATGACAAACTGATGATTCACTCATATTTCATATAATAATTCATTTTTGATACTTTGAAAGAGTGAAGAAACAATCAAGCCGGGCACAGAGCACCACCTATAATCCCAGCACTCAAGTGGCTGAGGCAGGAGGTTTGCAAGTTCAAGTACCACCTGGGTAATTTGGTGAGTTACTGAGATCCTATCTCAAAGCAAAAAATAAAATAAAATAAAATAAAGCAAGATTTGGGAAGGGAGCTATGTCAAAGCGTTGAGTTCAACCTCCAGTACTGAAAAGAGAAAACATTATAGAGGAAGGAAGGAGGGAGGGAATCTATATTGTCTGGGACTTCATGTCTGAGAGATGTGAACTGGGAACTCAGGGCTGCCGCGTGCCTGTCAGGAGTGAAGCCAGGGCAGCAGCCAGCAGAATGGGGAGGTGGAGAGAAGCTGAGGTTCAGGGTCCGTCAGTGCCTGATGTCAGCGCCAGCCACAGCCTGTCCAGGAAACTACACCAGTGTTACTTTCTTCTTACCTCACTGATCCACTGTAAAGATACAGCCAACCAAAGAGGAGCCGAATCAAGAAACAAAGCCATCTAGGGAACCGAGGTTTTCCAAGATGGAAATCAACAGTCTCTATGTACTAAAGGTTTTGAGAATTTTGGGGGTCCCACCTGTAGAAGCTACATTCATTTTCTATTAAGAATGATCTTTCAGGATAAATAGTTTCAGTTGACAAGAAACTGTTAACAACCGATATAAAAAATACTTTCTTTTCCCATTACAAGACACCATTTTACAATACAAAACAACTGAATTTTAAATTTGTGAAGTCTCCTAGGGGTACAGAAGAGGTAGCTGGAATTTGCCTAGCATTGACTAGGGAGCCTACAAGGAATACCAATCGTGTTGAAGCATATGTTTCACCTATTACCATAGACATCTTCACAACTTCCAGACGTAAGCGGCGCTTCATACACAGACTTGGAATAAATGAATTAAAATAATTCACCAGCACAGTGTTGCTCTAAAAAGAATTTGTAACGGAAGTCGGTGGATCTGAGTTGTATCTGGTCAATATATAAGAGGCATTGATTACCTGTATTACCTGTACGTGATTACAAGAAGGGCAGCTGGATTGCTGCTGATTTTACATGAGTTTGGTGGCTAAGGAAATCAGTACAACTGAAACCCTTCTCTCACGTGTCGCCTGCATAACCAGCTTCCCAAATTAGGCTGAGAGGTCTTGGGACCAAGCTGAGGAAGAATGGCTAAGGACGGCAAATCCTTCTGGAGTTTTCCTAAAGACGGGTCAGGATGAGCTGTGTTCGAATGAGCCCTTTCACTATCAGAAATGAGAAGGAATGCTGAGTTCTGTCCTTCTCCAGAGTCTGGCAGGGAGAGTCTCATCTTTATAAAGGAAATCTGATTGGCTGGAGCTCCGTGCAGAGGTTCATACCCGTGACAAGAGGGTTAAGTCCAACAAGCAGGGTCAGCACGGCAGGTATCATGTACACCACCTGACAGCAAACAGAGAGGAAATACATGCGTGAGGAGGATGCCCACTGCACGAGACGCTCACAGCCATCCAGGAAGCGAAGAAACACGAGATCAGTGCTTGTCGTGTTCCACGGTTTACCACTAAGTTTCAGGAACTATTAGGAAGCGGCCATCTGTGCTCCTGTGTAACCTGATAAGTGTGTCAGGCTGTAATTCTACCTCCTTCTTCCTAGATGGTTGGTTATTGCAGGAAAGACTCAGTCATCTTTACGCTCGAGCACGTAGAGTTTTGGTCTAGGTGCTGACTTCCTAGTCTCTCCCAAATAACTTCTATGCTGCCACGGCCAAGCCCTCTCACATAAACTAAAAGGTTCTTTGCAAAGGGGGTCGAGAGGTAGTCATAGCTACCTAGGTGATCTTGCTGGGTTTGATCTCATGGAACATCTCTGCAAGCCAGACCATCATGAACGGATAAGTTGTGCCACATACTGACATGAGGCTCTTCACTAGGAAACGGCTAGGCTGGCTAGGAAGTTAGAAGACTGGCCCTACGATGGTCCTATTCTCACAGCAAGCAATCTCTGGCAAAACTTGGTGCTGTGTATGAGTCTGTTGTGGACAGAGGGAAGGTAGGGAGCCTAAGTTTATAAGAAGTCTGGAGAGTTTCCAAGTGTAGTTCTTAACCGCTGCATTGCTTATATCAGAATCCTTCACTTTATTTGGAAGCTGTGAGAGCTGATCATATTATGTGATTTGTTTTCACTTTAAAGTCATGTCTATCTTGCTGTTGGGCAGAGAACACATTTGGATTACAGCCCCTTTGTTCATCTTTCTTTCTCTGGCCTTAATGATTACTGGAACATCAGTCAGTATTGATGTTTGCAAGCCAGGTGATCTAGCAAAGGTGGACAGAGGTGCTCCCTAGGGTTAACCCAGTACTTCTCAAACTTAATGTGCTTGGGATCTTAAACTCAGTTTCCAGTTTGGAAGGTCTGAGAGGAGAGGGATTTTCTAACAAGCTCCCAGGACTTGTGGAAGCTCCCACACTTGGAGCACTGAGAGGTTAGCTTCTAATCCCCACCCTGCGCAAAACTACGTGACTCAGACCCTCTCTGTCACACACACACACACACACACACACACACACACACACGCACACACGCACACACGCACACATGAATGACAGAGAACCAAGAGAGAAAGAACCCAAAAGAGCCCAAGAAACAGTGAAAGATAAACACACACGTCCTACAATATTCAATGGTGCTTTCCACAAGAAAGGTTAGGCAGAGATTCTTAACATGTGCATCAGCGCAACACATATCTGTCATGAATACATTAAAACAGTGTTTCAGTGCATTGCAAACATAGGAACAAAACAGTCCTTTAAGCTAAGTAACAGTTTTGCCGACAATCCTGACATATTCTTACATAAGCGCATCTCTGTATCTTGAATGAGAGAAAAGAAATTGAAGACTGAAAATAATTTCCTCTTGTACACAAGTTAAAAGAATGCACATTAAAAGTGCTCAAACATGAACTCAAGAGAACTCACACTGGTCTTTTTTATTTTTGTTGGATGTTTAAAAAACACTGAGCATCAGAATACTCAATACACTGAGTACCGTGGCAGGCATTCCTGATACCACACTTTCTGGTCTACCTGCCACCAGGAAAACTATTTTCCTCTCACAGCTGGGAACAGTCACAGTTCCAGCAACGAGATTCCAGGAGTGATCTTCCAGAAGAAGGCTGATAATGCACAAAGTATTTAACAGCTGGTGTGGGCGTGTGCTGATCACTCAGAATGGAACCCCACAACGTACCACACTGGGGGGGGCACACTGAACTGCAGCCCTGTCTGAATAGCTTCTTAGGAAACATTTTCTCCTAAATAAAAGGATGAAGACACAAAAAGGAAACTTATTGTGTTCCTGCTTTGCTTCTCCTTACTTGGAGATGAGATGTTTGGAGCTGCAGCAGCTGTGGTGTAAACATGAGACAGTGGAGAAGAGCAAGTCCAGGCCCTTGATGATTCCAGTGACATCTTAGTGAGTGATTCTGTATTTTTCTAACTGGTGCTAATCGTGTCTGTACAGATTCTGATAGCGATATCCCCCATGAGCAAAGAGAAGCAGGGAACATGGGGACGAGCTGGGTCCAGACAGTCCCCAAAGCACAGGAACGTACTCGTTGTTCATCTGTGTGTCCATTTTCAGAGTCAACACGGGCCAGCTGAAGTGGTGCACGTCTACAATCTCAGCTACCTGGGAGGCTGAGGCAGGAGGATGGCAAGTCTGAGGCCAGGTTAGTTAATTTATGGAGACTCTGTCTCAAAAGAAAATAACAGGGCTGGGAATGCAGCTGAGGAGTAGAGAGCTTCCCTAGCATATGTGAAGATCGGGGTTCAATCCCTGGGACTGGGGGCGGATGAGGGGAGCCAACACAGGAAGACTTTCTATAGTGGAAGCTCTACATTAAATTCCTAGAGACTCCCAATGAAATAGAATACCTTACTTTGTCCTCCTGAGCGCGGGCGCGTACAGAGCTAAGTCTAATGCTTTTATGAAGCTGAACACCAGGGTGCTACAGTAAGTGCTCAAAGGAAGAAGGCTCAGAACCTACGAGAAAGATGCCCAGTTGGCTTGTTCAAAGAGGCAGTATTTGGAGACGGTCCGTGAAGCCGCGTAGGCCACGACACACAGGAGTTCTGGGGCCAAGATGCAGTGACCATCATGCTGGGCTGGTTTTGCAGGCCATGCTGGGGAGGTGGTTGGGGCCATAGTGTGCAGGGCCTGAAATCCAAGTGGATGTGCAACTTAAGACAGTTTGAGAAATGATAGAAGATTTTGCAGCAGACAGTGACACATAAGAGGGGTCCTAGGAGCACAGGAGATTAGAAGCTGACCCAAGGATGGGGACTGTGCATACAGGAGGTGGGGGAGGCAGCACTGGGGATGAGGGAGGCTGTCAGGATGTGGGGGCTTACTTTCCTGCAGAGTCACCAGACGGGAAGTGAAGGGTAAGCTGGGGGTACTGTAAACTAAAGACACACAAGTGAATCTAAATAGCTTCTCGGGGTGGAGGGAGACAGGCTCTTCTCCCTGTGTAGCTCAGTCTGGTCTTTCTCATTGGCTTACTTTTAAAATTCTATTTTGTTTGAGGGATCTCAAAGGCTGTGGTAGGGAACAGACAGATGTTAAAGCAGACTGAGGTTTTAAACAAGGATGACTGAGGGAACATTCTGCTGAAAACACAAATGGTTAAGTCAGGAGAGGAGTGGGTTTGGGAGGGACAGATGCTGGGGAGAACCTTGGCGTACTGGAGGCACACTGCCGTGTTTAGGCGGACACACACCAGTCCCTTAGAGATTCGGTACTGTTCTGGATATCTCACACTCTGCACTAGACATTCACATAATATCGCCTATATTTTCATTTATAGCTCATCTGTACCTGGTCAATAGTACTCCAAAGCCATAAAGTCACCTGCTCGTTGATGCTGTGTAAAGTTACACATTTGTATTGAAAGACAGGGCATAGTTCAGGTCTTTTGGGAAATGTATGGGATGGTCTCCCCTTTTCCCAAATGGCTGAGTTCAGAGCACTGGCTAAATGAAAAAGGTACATTTTACGGACTTTAGTTTCTATAAAAACAACTCACTGAATTAGCAGAACCACAGAATCTAACCTGTCCCTCAAACACTGTAGTTTCTGACTAGAAACTTGTGAGATCATTGGGTGATTTGGAGAGGTCAACTCCAGGCCGACAAGTACAGGGTCCTCCTCCATGAGGCCATCTCCTAGAGGGAATACAGTCTTCTCTAGGAGGACATCGTGTTCAGGACACCCCCACCCCGACCTGTGCCTCACTAAAATCTGTGGTTATTCAAGTACTGGCAAATAACCCGTGCAATCCTTTGCATGGTTATTGTAAAGGTTAGCAATTATGTATGTAAAGGGGCTAGCACACTGTAGGCTCTTAGTAAATACTAAGTATTATTGTTGTTGTTGTTGTTGTTGTAAGACAGGATTTCAGCAACTTGCTGAGTTGCCCAGGTTGGCTGGAATCTGATCCTGCTGCCTAGCTTCCTGCAGTGCTGGGATCATAGATGTGCTTGTAACCTCACGCTGCAGTCAAACCGGCTGCAGAGAATGTGATAGGTTTGCTGGGATATCTGTCTGTCTGCTGGGAGAATCCCAGTGTCTCCGGAAAGTTCAGACTTCACACACACACACACACACACACACACACACTCTGCACTGACCCCTCCCCCACCCCAAAGGAAAAACGTAGGGACAGAAGAGCAAAGAGTCCGATTGCTAAGAGAGTGGGGGAGGCAAACCGCAGCCAGCAGCGGGCTGCGGCTCCTGCCCGGACAGCAGCACGAGCCCAGGGAGACTCCGGCAGCAGGCACACTCACCACCCACAGCGCGGCGTCGGGGTCGTTGACCTGGAAGCCAGAACACCGGCCGTTAGCAGATGCTGGTCCCGCCTTCCCACCTGCCTGTAACTCACAGTTAGTCACTTGGTGAGGGGCGGCCGCAGAGGGCACCAGGGCACAAAATACAGACGAGCCGCGGCCCAGCGCGCAGGCCGGCTGAGCGCCGACGGACCTCAGCTCGGGTCCCCGCACACGGCGCCGCCGGTCCCCCCGCAGGTCCCCGCGCCCTGCACCCCGCACCCCGCTCCCCGCGCCCCTGACCTGCACGCAGGCGGCCAGCGCGAAGAAGGTGGCCATGAGCGCGCTGCAGGCCCGCCACAGCCCGGGGACCCCGCGCCCCGCCGCGGGCGCCATGGCCCGGCCGCCGGCTCCCCTCGCCCCCTCCCGGCCAGCGTGCGCTCCGGGCGCTGCGCAGAGCAGGGAGTGACCTGCCCGCCCAGGGCGCAGGGCTCCGGGCGGCCGGGAGGTGGTGCTGGGCCCCGCGTCCCTGCAGGGCCTGCTCACAGGCTGATGCCACCAAGGCCAGGCTGCTTTAAAAACAGCAGAGGGGAGGGGGAGGAAGGAAGGAAGGAAGGAAGGAAGGAAGGAAGGAAGGAAGGAAGGAAGGAAGGGAGGAAGGAAGGAAGGGAGGAAGGGAGGAAGGAAGGAAGGAAGGAAGGAAGGAAGGGAGGAAGGAAGGAAGGAAGGAAGGAAGGAAGGAAGGAAGGAAGGGAGGAAGGGAGGAAGGAAGGAAGGAAGGAAGGAAGGAAGGAAGGAAGGGAGGAAGGGAGGAAGGGAGGGAGGGAGGGAGGAAGGGAGGAAGGAAGGAAGGAAGGAAGGAAGGAAGGGAGGGAGGGAGGGAGGGAGGAAGGGAGGGAGGGAGGGAGGGAGGGAGGGAGGAAGGAAGGAAGGAAGGCAGTCAGTCTTGGTGGTGCAGGCCTGGAAATTCAGCCCTCTGGGAGGCCGAGGCAGGAGTATCCCACACTGAAGCCCAGCCTGGGCAGCTGGAGATGTAGCAAGCCCCTGAGTTAACCCCCAATGTGAGCTCCGTGGAGGGGCCCGTGTTCGTGGGGGTGTGCAAGGAAAAGGGAAAGAAACATGTTGGGCCTGTACTTTAGTTAATCTACAGGGGAGGCTGAGGCAGGAAGACTGCAATGGTAAAGGCCAGCCTGGGCAACGGAGACCTCATGTCAAAAGGGAATATTAGATCTGGGGATGTGGCTCAGCACTGTCTGGGTGCAGCCCACCTAGACCCAACCCCTGTGGGGATCGCGGGTACATTTTCTGGCGGGAATTTATGCATTGCCTTCCCAAGCTTAGGAAAGCCTTGTAAGCGTTATGCTAATTTGCACAGTGATGAGGGTTATATTCACATCCCATCCAGCTCACAGCTTTGCTGCAAACAGACTCATTTATGTTGATGGGCCTTTATTACAAAAAGTATTTACATATTATACATATTTACAATTCTCTCCCACCACCAAAACCAACAAAATTTCCTGTGCGCCTTGCTCATGAATTTCTTATGAAGGAGAGAAACTGACATATTCCCTGCTCTCCACGCCCTTGTCTAGGTCTTTTTCTGTTTTGTAATTCACCCTTCTGGTTGGTTCTTGTAGGTTCATTTGCACATCCATAGCCTCATCATTTTTGTCTTCCAAAGAGCCTTTGTCACTTCAAATCACAGGAGCTTGTGAGCTGGTCCTCCTTTAACTAAGTCTCTTTAAACCATTTAGGGGGATTTTTGTTCCCTTTCTTGGTTTAAGTCCTTTCCAGAAACAATTTCAGAAATGTTGTCATGGGCTGGGTGTCTGGGCTGCGCTAGGAGGGGGGCCCAGGCTGGTTTTCTGTGTCCTGTCTAGGAAGGGATATTTGGGGACAAGGGGTGGGGGTAGGACTCCAGGGACCACTTTCACTTGGGGTTGGCACAAGTCTCAGTACTGAGTCCTGTGGCTGCCCAGCCCTGGGATGGGGACAAGCCTCACCTCCCTCAGTGCTCATCCTTACGGAAAAAGAATAGAGGGGGAGCTTTACGGGATGAGCTAGGTATCCTGTCCCTACTCTCCAAATCCACACACTGAAGCTCTAAGCCTTAGTTTCCCAAGCAGTAACTGTATTCAAAGGTGAGAGCCCTTAAAGAAGTGACTAAGACATCAAACAGAAGTCACGAAGGTAGGTCCTGTTCCAATGGACTGATGTCCCTAGCTGAAGAGGGGACTGAGCCTCAGGTGCTCACAAAAGACCAAGTAACAACCTGGAAGACTCCTCCATGGAAACCTGCCGTGCAATCACCGGGACCCTCCATGCTGGCCTGCCCGATTGTGAGATAATAAAATGTTGTGGTTTGAGTGCTAACACTGTTCTGATAGCCCTAGCAGATGAATGCAAGGAATGATTATAGAACTTAGAAAGAAAGAGATGAAGATGTGTTTTGTCTGGATAGGGGTCATCCCCTTTATTTCTAGGGTCAACATCTTGATTATTAAGGGGAAGCCTGTTCTGATTTAGATGGAGAGCATTCTCCAAAGGCCCCACAAGGTCATAGGTGGAGCCTTCGGATGGTGGCTGAATCATGCGGGCAATATAGGTGAGTTGCTGTCAGGAGGTGGGATCTCCTTGGAAAGGGGCTTCACTGGGGCGTAACCCAGGAGGGTGGGTGCACCTCCCAACTCAGCCTCTAGCTTTCTACTTCCTACCACTGTGACATCAGCAGCGTTCCCAGCTCTGTGCCCCTCTGCTGTGCTGTTCTGCCTTGGAGCTGGTGGACTGTGGATTGAAAATATTGTTAGGGCCGCCGCCGCAGGGAAAGAGACCCCAAGGACTCAACTCTTGGTGAGGGAAAAAAAGTTTATTTCCATGCGCATGGGGTCCTCCAGGCAAACGAGTGCGGAGGGCCCCGAGGAGAATTTGTGCAGGGTTTTTAAGGGCACAAGCGGGAAGTAAGCAGGTTTACAGAAGCAGATCGCATTGGTTAATTTTGAACGGCGCAGGACTTTTGCAGATGCTGATTCAAGGGGTCTGGGGCTGAGTAACCATGGAGACTGAGGGTCCTGGTCTGATCTCAGAGTGCCAGGTATAACTCGGTCTCATTTGAACAGCACATTCCTTTACTTATCTTTTCCTTTACAGAGGACAGAACATCTTGTGGTTAATGACTAGCAAATGTATTCCTTCCTGTCCTGCTCTGATATCTCAAGGAGGAATTAGGGAGTGAGACATTCCTTACAGCTCTGTTCTATAGCTCGGGGGGGTTACATCACAAACGGGGAGTCGATTCTCTCATTCCCCCCCCCCTTTTTTTGCAAATGACTTTTAATCTTAAAGGTCCTGTATGGGTAAGGGATCATATTGTTGACGTAGCACCATAACTTTTACTTGAGAAATCTGGGCCCTCACAAACCGGGTTACTCGGTTAATGAGGCAAGGGGCTATAGCTATGACTATAATGAATCCGGCCAGGGGTCCCAATAAAGGGAGAATATAGGGCAGGATTGATTCCCAGAAAGAGAACACTTTGGCTTCACTTGAAGGGGGCTCTCGAGATCTGATTCTCTCTCTCAACTTTTCCATTGCATCTTTTACAATCCCAGTATGATCAGTGTAAAAACAACATTCTTCTCTAAGTGCAGCGCAGAGACCCCCTTCTTTTAAAAACAAAAGATCTAAGCCTCTTCTGTTTTGTAACACTACTTCAGATAGAGACGAGAGAGATTGTTGTAATGCAGTTATAGATGTCTCTAGGGCCTGTAGATCCTGGTTCACAACTGCAAGAAGCTGCTGGCGGGTCTGGTGCCCAGTAATGAGGGCTGCTATACCAGTTCCTATCCCCCCTGCCACACCTATCCCTAATAAGACTGCCAGGGTCAGGGAGACAGGTTCCCGTTTATATCGACCTTTCATGAGGGGGAGCATGTCAGGAGGGAGATACTTAATGCGTGGCATAAGGTCTATGAGGATGCAGGAGCTGTCCCCTGCAAGGAGTACATTTGTGGAAACACAAGGGGTGAGCCCCGTAGTACATAACCAGAATGCCCCGGTGGGAGGGATGAGGTACTGGTTTCTGGGGAAGGAGCGGGTATGTGTGAGGCAGCGATGGCGTAGATCTGCAGGCCAATTATCAAGTGTCCCTATACAGGTTCCTCGGCTAGCGAGGCCAGGTAAAGGAAGGGTGTGGAACATGTGATCCCAATCGCACTGGTCGGAATTGGGGGTCAGCGTATAGGAATCATTTAGAGCAGTCCCCTCATAATATGGAGGGTTAGCACTTAGACATAACCAACAAGCTTGGGCCAGGTCTGGATGGGTAAGATTAAGGGCTTTATGAGCCCCAAGTATAAGGCTGAGAAGAGAGCTCACAGTTGGAGGGATGAGTCCTGACTCAGGAGGATTAGTTAAATCCCCGGAGGGGGTGCGAGGTGAGGTCATGTGTTCTCGATTTTGAGTAGCCTTAGGCCCCGGGGATAAAAGTCTTTTAGCAGTTGTTGGGGCCAGTGGTGGCAGGGACGGCCTTGTTTCCGGTTTTAATTCCTTTTTGATAAACAAATATCCCCCTGAGTCTTTTCCACTTTGATAATATCTAAACCCCCAAGTTTTTCCTGTGATCCATGAAGGCTCTTGGGGGGTGAGGACCGTGAGTTGTAGGTATAGGCAGGGTCCAGGTCCCTGGCTCGACTCGGCGTTCCAAGCCCCACCATAACAAGTGGGGGGCTTTGGGCGAGCCCCAGTCAGCCTTGAAAGGCTAATGTGTTGGTCCCTTATGGTGGGTGTCCACGCAGTGGTCACCGTCTCACATCCCCAGTAAGCACAGTAATATTCTCCTGGGGAGTTACAATAGGTTCTCCCTTCTACTGAAGTTGGGCATAGGTAAACACCCTGAGATGGATCCATACAGGGGGCTTGAGAGACAATATCGCAGGAAAAGAAGGCAAAAGTGGGATTACCTGATCCTTCCCACTTGCCGATCACCTCTTGGTTGTCCCACTTAATCAATGACCAGATCCAAGGGCGGTGGGGGTTAGCTATTGTAGGGGTGACTAACACTAACATGAGTAATCCCATTATAGCCCAGGGGGTTACAATCTGGGGTCTTTGTTGGGTCATCTTGCAATAATACACAAGGGGAGTGTATAGAAACAGCATCAAAGAGTCTTTCGGCTCAGTTTAAGTTTCAAGGGGTTATCAGACCGCTTGAGTTCCCAGGAGCTGTCCTCTGGCGCCGAAGCAGGCTTTAGATGTGACGCGTGGATCCAAGGGGCGATTCCGTCAACCTTTACCGCTGTAGGAGTAGTCAATAGGACCTGGTATGGTCCTTTCCAGCGAGGCTGCAGAGTCTCTTGTTGGTGGCGCCGGACGAACACAAAGTCTCCCACCTGGTACGGATGTGGTGCAGGGAACTCACTGGGGACGTAGGCCGAGGCTAGCTGCATCCACACGTCCCTCTGTAGATTGTCGAGGGCGATGAGCCTGTCAGACAGGGAGGTTGGCAACAAGGCAGCATGTTTGGTTAAGGGAGTGAGATCCCGAATGGGGGGTGGAGTGCCAAAGAGGATCTCGAAGGGAGTAAGGTTAGGGGGTTTGGCTGACGGGGTGTTTCGCGCGCGAAAAAGGGCATACGGCAGGAGCA